TGCTACGTACCTCTTAGTCGTATCAGTCGCCAAACTCTTTGGTCATGAAGACATCTTCGGAACAGCGGACTGCCTCATGGCCATCATAATGATGCTGTGGAATAACAACGATACGGTGATTCTGGAAAGATTTAAAAGTAATGCGACTAGGGGTTTCTGGTGTGGTTTTTATGCTATACACTTCCTGGTCAATCTGTTTAAGTTGACGGAAATTAAACTCATAGATGAACCCGAGAACGCTGGTAGTAATGGAGGAAGCAGTCGTGGTGGGCGTGGCCGTCATGGCGGTCGTGGTGGCGGTGGCAGCCACGGCGGCCGTGGTGGCGGTGGCGGTCGTGGTGGCGGTGGCAGCCACGGCGGCCGTGGGGGTCGTGGGGGTGGTGAAGGAGGAGAAGATGAAGCAGCACCAATAACGGCTGAACCCACGTGCTGCCAAAGATGCCCTGAAGGCTGTCTAAGAAGAATGGAGTCTGGGATCCAGTGTGTGTTCCGCTATCCGGTAGCCCTTATGATTCTGGTAGTCATCGGCTACGCAGGAGCCATCGGCTGTGCCATCAAGATTTCTCACTGGAAGACTTTGATGGTAACGATGACAGTCATTTTCAGCTTGTTAGTCGGCGCTGCATTCATACTTCTCTTCCACAGAGCATACATCTCTATTAGAGCCTGCATGGACGGATGGTGTTGAGATGCTGGGTCCTGAACATAATTATCCAATCCGCCGGAGCTATAGCTGTTCTTACCGGATTTGTTTACCTCTCAAACGATCTTGAAAAGGACATGGAGAAGCTCCGGTTTTTTGCGCTGGGATTTTTCCTATCCTGTTTTGTGTTAATCGTCTCAGTGGCCAAGCTGTTCCGAGCTCAGGATATCTTGGGAACGGCTGACAGCCTCATGGCCGTATTAATTACTCTTTGGATTAAGAACAATCAAGTAATTCTCCAAGGTTTTAATGTTGGGGAGAAGATATGTTTCTGGGTGGGATTTTACGTTGTACTCTTCCTTGTCAACTTCTTCAAGTTGACGAAAATCCAACTCAGAGAACCCGAGCCCGCTGGTAGTGATGGAACAAGCTTGGAGAATCCTGCTGGAGTAAGTCAAGGTGCACAAGCAACAACAACGGCACCTGAGGGTGGTGGTGAACCCGGAAATTTTGAACTTGCACGTGTTGGTGGTGGAGAAATACAAGCACCGGGAAAGGAAGAAGATGAAGGAGCCAGAGACCCCGCTGGTAGTGATGGAACAAGCTTGTTGGAGAATCCTGCTGGAGTAAGTCAAGGTGCACAAGCAACAACAACGGCCCCTGAGGGTGGTAGTGAACCCGGAAAATTTGAACTTGCACGTGTTGGTGGTGGAGAAAAACAAGCACCAGGAAAGGAAGAAGATGGAGCCGCCAGAGACCCCGCTGGTAGTGATGGAACAAGCTTGGAGAATCCTGCTGGAGGAAGTCAAGGTGCACAAGCAACAACAACCGTAGGAAATCAACTTGCAATTGGTAGTGGAGAATAGGTACTGGCGGACCAATTCCATTCTTGCTAATCTTATTGCAGTTTATCTAATAAGTTTAATTGCTGTATCAGCATTAATCCAGAGATTTGTGAGGTCTAATGTATTTATTTTGGTTCATGATGACATTTCGTTTTGCTTTTTGTTTCTGGTAGTGAATTGTTCTTTTTTTTTTGTCAATCCGGTAGTGAATTATTTATTTTGATACAAAGCTTCTTTTAAAAAAAAAAAAAAAAAAACTATTCAGCGGAGCAATTTTGTACGTAAAAAAAGCCAAACGCATTCAAGCATATAAAAGCATATGCAATCAAAAAAAAATTCACAAGAAATGGTTCATATAATGTCTAATTAAAGTAAACTTGTTGTTTTACGATTTTGCAGTAAGATTTCAGTTTTTTTGTTATGTAGATTTTTTTTCTATTTCTAAAGAAAATATTACGATAATAACATAGAAAACAATTAATTAAAACCAATATATTGATACAAGTTATGCCTTTTTATGTATCTTCATATTTGAGACATATCATACGTTCTGTGGGATGGATATATATATATATATATCCCCAAACATTTTATCTAGTTTACTTATATTTTCGTGACATTATCTATAATAAATAATCTATCAAACACTTTATATTTTCAACGTCATTTAATTTGCCGCGCTTCGAATGTACATAGTCTTACACAAGAAAACATGTGAAATGACGTGCCTTGACAAGAAATTTTGTTGATATCAAAATCAAACAAAAGAACTGATAAATTTTGTTAAATGAAAAGTGGTGAATGTTAAATTGTTCACGCTGTTCTAACCACTCAATGTAAACAATTACAACGAATGATAAGGTTTTAAAGATGTTTTTCTATCAGACAGATATGCTTTGTTGTATTACCCCAGAATTATTATTATCAATTTTTTTGTCGCATAGATATCTTTAGTTAGTTCATATTAAGAGAAAAAAAAAAGTAAATTGCCAGATGGTAATTTTAAGCTATATATGTAATTATGTAGGTCTATTATAGTAAAATAATAAAGATCCATGTATATGCGTCCACTTTTTGTTTAACCGTTGGATAAATGAAATAATAGTACGAGGATACAGGCACGTGTCAGAAAAGTGCTTACCAAAAATTGATGAAATTTTTTGTTTGTTTGTTAAATAGGTACGTTCAAAACAAAACGACGACAATTCTTTATGTCATTTTCTTTCTGGTTTTAATTGTTTTGTCACTTTACTCCTTTCGGTTTAAATTGTTTTTTTTCACAAGAAATAAAGCCAACAAATATTTGACATTGAGTGATTATTTATCACACATTCATTCATCTTTAATTTATCATAATCATGTTAAACCGAAACCTCAACCTCGGAAGAATTCAAAAAAGGCGATCAATCCAGCATTCCAGCTCATACATCAACCTGAAAAATAGTTTAGACTCCTTTTGTTCCCTCATCACGACATCACGTGCAACTTGAGACTCTTGTTAACACTCTACAGGAGTCTACTTCTGCATAAATTATGGCCTGATGTAATTTGTAGCATTTAACATCTAGTTGATTTGCTATGTTTCTTTCTTAATTATATAACGGAAGCTTAAGAAATCTATATTATATATATGGTCCAACTTTTTAGTATTTTCAATAAATTTTCTGTAAGAAAGAACAGTACAATACCAAAAAAAAAAAAACAGTGCAGTACACCCTCCAGCAAAACCTTGTAGCCAACCGAATCAACAATAGAAAATCTCCAACACACATCAACCACAAACCTAGCGTCCGATTTCTTCCCTGTATAGCCACTGAAAACCCTTGTTAGTTTTATGCTCTTGTATCATTTTATAAGTCATTGCTTCTTGTACAAGGCATAACCGTGTGATAAACGAAAGTAAAACAGAATTGGAAGTAAAAAGGAAACAGAGTTTTCCTCGACAATTATACATTTACACAAGACTAACTTATATAGTAATTTACATGATCAAACGTAATTGTTAGTAATGATACACAATTGTTCATAACTTAATAATTACCCATATGATAATTGTTAATTACGGGTAATTACGACTAATTTATTTTACACATCTCTTCATTTTACGACTAACATACATCTTTTCATTTTACATACACTAATTTATATGTTAATGTTCAAAAAAAAAAATTTGTAATATATAACCAAACTCAATTATAAATAAGCTAATTAATCGACACTATCTACGAGTTCTAAACCTTCTGATTTAGGAAAGTCTGTTTAGTAGATCGGGTTTGTAGGCCTGGGAGTTTGGGTCGGGTCGGGTTTTTTGGTTTAAATCGGTTTATTCGGTTATCAAAAGATCCTCCAAAATAAACCGAACAATTATCGGATGGGGTCGGATCGGTTTTCGGTTTATTTTGGTTATTGAATTTTTGCCGAATTGAACCGATTTTTTTTATTTCTCCAGTTAACACCGGTTTAGCCGGTTAAATTCGGGCAAAATCAGTTAGATTCGGTTTAATTCCGATATAATTTTTGATTTTTTAATTATAAAAATGTATATATATATATATATATACAAAAAATCGGTTCGGTTCGGATCGGTACAATCGAGTCGGGTCAAAATCGCAGGTCTATAGCTAAGTAAGTTATTCCATTTGTTTGTCATTATGAGATTTAAAAAATGAAAAGAAGATTATTATCTCGGAAAATGTGAAAATGATTTTGAGCTCCAAGTTCAAAATATGACAAAATGCATTATACTATGTACATTGGTTCATAAATTCAACACCCTACCTATTATCATTTGTATTTCTCTACATCATCTTCTCTCTTTCACCTAATAATTCAACTCTCATTTCAGTTCTAAACTCTGCAATAGATTCGTTTAATAAATTCAACATCTTACCCCACTACTTTTACTTTATATTCTTAATTTTTTTTATAATTTTGTAACTACATATTAATAACAATCATCCATTAATTTTAAATTAAATTATAAAAAGTTACATAATATCTTAAAGCCATACCTGCAATATTGTTGGGATCTATTTAGAATAAAAGAATTGTTTAAAGATATAAACAAAAGTTTATTCGAAAACAACTATAGGAAAAATGACGTTTTTTAATCTCCAAATGAAATGAACCAAATCTCTATTTATAGAGTATAAAAATGATAAATTTTGGTATAAAAATATAAACAAAAAAATTGTTTGGTATACAACATTTGATTTTAAATAAATGGGATGAGAAAAAGAAATCTTAAAAATGCATATAAAGGTTTAATTGGCTCACAAGCATCTTATGGTTTCCACTTTAGTTTTCTCAACATGTTGAATAAATTAAACAGAGTTTAATCTACCTCATGTTTTTTATTTTTTCAACAAGTCTATTGGAGCTATTCAACATGCCCATTATACATGGCCTTAGTACCAAGAGTCCGTAAAGAAAGGTTTCATTGTTTATAAACGACGTCGTTACTTGCTAATAATCCGAGCTAATAAACGACATCGTTTAGGTGCTACTGGTTATAGCAACAAGATTCTCTGCAACTGCAATTGACCTTGAATCTTCATGACTTATCTACTTGGAAGATCAGCAGAAATCAATATAGAACGGGTAAAGTTTCTCAATTTTACAATGAACATAACTTTTCAGCTCTTGAAACAGTGACTTAGATGTTTCAGAAACTCTCTTCTGAGTTATATTTCCTTGTTTGTGCTACAGTAATATTAAACAACAATTTACCATGATCTTGCTTCTGGGTCTCCTTATATCCATCCAAGACTGATCCTTTCCGCACCAATTCAGTTTAATCTTTCTTCTTGTGGCTTAAATGTCTCTGGTTAGTTATGTCTAAGTATCCAACACCGATTCCAAAGTTCGTTAACCATTGTTTGAGTTCTTCTTTGTTTAATTACGATTATTATGCTAACTCTAATTCGGAATCTGGATTTTCCATAGGTTACTACATGATGCAATTCATGTCAGTGGTGTGCTTCAAATTTGGTTTCACTTCAGTCAGAATGAGGGATTGGTCGGTGGGAGTCTCCATTATGGTTCTTACATTAATATTCATCATCCGTTTTGAACAATCTGATCACAAGTTTTCAACGAGTCACACTGCGGATAATTCTAGTAGAAGGAGAGAGTGTTCATGAACCAGCAAAGAAGCCACAATTTATGACTTTGATAATATCTTTTCAAGCAAAAGCTTTTTAGGAGGAGGAGAAGAGTACAATTTGGATTGCTTTAAAAAAACATAAAAAACCTTAAAAACAAGTATATATATATATATTTCAAAGATAAATAATAATAAAATGAAAAATAGCTATTATTATGATTCTTCTGTGCTTTTTTGGCAGCTACCGTCTGCAGAGTGTAGTATAGTAGAGTCTAGAGTGTCTGACCTTCTTCCTATCTTTTTTTTTTTACGGCCAAATTTTCCATTAGATGAGGAAACAAATTACAAACTAGTGTTTGGTGTACAAAGTTAAGACATACATTTAATGGATCTATGAGATATCAGATGGTAAGTTTTGTTGTCTAGCTTTCCGGGCTAGCATGTCAGCAACGGTATTGACTTGTCTACCAACATGTTTGAACGCATAATAACCACGCGCCATAGCCACTATATCTTCAAGATATCCTTGAATCTCCAATGGTCCAGGATCCTGTTGGATTTGCTTAACTTATTTCTCCAAATGATTGTATAGTGCACTAAAATCACCATAGAAAGTGACATTCTGGTAATTGGGTCGTTTCAGTTGGAAAAGGGCTTCTCTCAGCGCAATGGCTTCAGTTTCCAAAGCTGAGCTAGTAGGATCAATGGATAAGGATCCTTTAAGGATACAGCGTCCTTGTGCGTTGAAGAGGGCCCAACCAATGCCTGCTTTGCTGTGGGGATCTAACCATGAACCATCTATGTAACAAGAGAAAGATGAATTAGGTGGCTGATCATAGGAACGCTGATGATTTTGAGACTTAGTGCCTTTATTGTAATGATAGTTGTGAACATTAGAAGCATTTTCAGCTCCTTCCATAATTCAAAATCCATAATAGCTTGACGAATAATGTCAGGAATAGCCCATCGCTTGTGCTTATAGAAAAGATCGTTTCGGGCTTTCCATATACGCCATCCAATGTAAATGAATAAAGGTTCCTTGGAGCCAGCAACATTTCTGGATTGTAACATACCAGTTATCATATCAAAAAGCGTAGCTGCTTCATACTGACCTGATGGGATATGTAGGGGTGATAGTTCCTAAATCTCTTTTGCTACCCGACATTGAAAGAAGAGGTGGGGAATAGTTTCAGCAGCATCACCACAAAAAAGGCAGTCTGAAGAGATTTTGATGCGCCGATGTGCAATATTATCTGCGACAGGGAGAGCATTATGAAGCATTCTCCACCAGAAATGTTTTAGTTTTGGTGGTATATGCAAAGCCCAGAGTATTTTACACAGACCTTGGAGTTGAGTTGAAGTTATGGAACAGTCTGGATGCGGTTTTGATAGTTGATGGTAGCCAGACTTGACAGTATACTGGCCATCCTTAGTGAATATCCAGGTAGGAACATCAGGGCCTTTAAGGAGCCTCAGTCGTATTCTCCTAATAAGCTGAGCATCTTCAGGACAAATTTTCTCCTGTAGCTTCTCTTCATCCCAAGATGTTGTGCATGGCTTCATGAGTCCTGAAACTGTCAAATTGTCATTTGTGATATTTTCCAAGCTTCTTGGTGGACGTGAAGGATTATCAATCCAAGAATCATGCCATACCCGAACTGTATGACCATTACCTATTCTCCACTTTAAGCCCTGTTTTAAGAGAGATGTACCTTGCATTATACTTCGCCAAGCATGACTTGGGCGGTGTCCAACTGCAGCTTCCATCAGAGAGGTTTTATAAAAATATTTTGCTTTGAGAACTCTGGAGAGTAAAGAATGAGGCTCTTTTAACATTCGCCAGCTTTGCTTCGCCAATAGAGCAGTGTTGAAATGAGAGAGATCTCGAAAACCCATGCCTCTGTACTGTTTCATCATAGTAAGTTTGGTCCATGCTATCCAAGGGATCTTTTGCTTTTCTTTAATGCTGGACCACCTGAAACGTCGTATCTGAGCTGTAATTTGAGAAATAAGTCGTTTAGGCAGAAGAAAGCAAGACATCGTATAAGTGGGCAGAGCCGTTGCCACAGACTTAATTAAAACTCCTTCCCAGCTTGTGAGAGAAACTTAGTGTACCAATTGTCTAGCTTATGTTGAACTCTTTGAGAGATATAAGCAAAGGCATCATATTTATTTCTGCCTACAGCTTCTGGTAAGCCCAAATAACGACCAAAGCCTCCAATTTTGGCAATACCAGTGAGACTTTTAATAGTTTCTTGAGTAGTTGTAGGAACATTCTTACCAAATAGTATAGCAGATTTTTGAAAGTTGACGTGCTGGCCGGAAGCAGTTGCATAAACTTGGAGCAGCTGGAGGATTTGATGACATTCTTGCTCATTTGCTTGACAAAATAGGAGAGAGTCATCTGCAAAAAACATGTGTGAGATTGCAGGTCCATTACGACTGGCTTTAAATCCATGAATAGATTTTACATGGACTGCGTTAGCTAACAGTGAAGACAAGCCTTCGGTACATAGCAAGTAAAGATATGGTGAAAGCGGATCACCTTGACGCAATCCTCTGCTAGGAATAATCTTTTTAGAAGGAGATCCATTAATAAGCACTGAATAGGTGACTGTGGTAACACATTTCATTATCCATTGGCACCATTTCTCTGCAAAACCAAATCGTCTCAATATGGACAACAAATAATTCCATTCCACCTTATCAAAAGCTTTAGCAATGTCAAGCTTAAGAGCCATGAAAGGTGATTTGATTTTTTTAGTACGCAATGAATGCAGAAGCTCGTGAGTAATGATTACATTATCTGTGATGAGACGACCAGGAATAAAAGCCGACTGAAATTCTGATATCAGACAATGTAACCAAAGTTTTAGACGTTCTGCCATGACTTTAGATATTAGTTTATATGCAATGTTGCATAAACTAATTGGTCTAAAATCTTTAACCTGAGTAGGAGATTCTATCTTAGGAACAAGGCATATATAAGTGTGGTTCATGTCCGGGTCAAGATTACCAGATTGGAAAAAATATTAGACAAAGTTTACCACACCTGATTTAATTGTATTCCAGTGGTACTTGTAGAAGCCTGCATTAAACCCATCAGGTCCTGGAGCCTTGTCAACATTCATGGCAGATAAAGCTTTAAAAATCTCCTCCTCAGAAACTGGCTTAGTGAGCTGTTGGTTCATCTCTGCAGTGACTTTTGGTTGAATATGTTGCAGCACAGAATCCAGATCATTACTGCCACGAGAGGAATAAATGTCAGTAAAGTAATTTTGTATAATCTCTTGAATCTCCTTCTCTGAATGTTTAACGAAACCATCTGTATCTTAGATGGCAGTAATGCGATTGTGACGTCGGCGTTGCTGAGTCTTGGCATGAAAATACTTCATATTTTTATCTCCTGCGTGCATCCATTGAATCCGACTCTTGGTGCGCCAGAATTCTTCTTCCATTCGATATTCATGCTGTAATTTAGATTTTAGATCTGAAATATAGTTATAGTCAAGTGAAGAAGAATCATACGCTTTCTGTAGGGCTAGACGGAGTTGCTGGATCCGTTTTTGTGAATTAAGATGATGCTCTGATTTCCAGCGAGAGAGACTATTCCTGCATCGTTTTAACGCTTCATGAAATTGTTAGGGTGGTAATTGACTGCAACTTTGATCCCATGTACGTTGGAGAGCTGAGTGAATATCTCGTTGAAACCTCCAGCGATTATCATATCTGAATAAAGTCTTGCCTTTCCAGCTGGTGGCTTCAGTTTGAAGCAGTAGAGGTCGATGATCCGAGCCAATCTATTCTAAGAGCTGGACAAAAGCTTTGGGATATTTATCATGCCAAGTTGCAGTAGCAACCACTCTGTCTAGCTTTGATTTAATAGTTCCTGCACTTCTGTTACCCACCCAAGTAAATTGGCCTCCAAAAGTTTTAACTTCATGTAAGCCAGAGATTTTTAACATCCGTCGAAAATTGGCAAACTGCCACTCTGGCCTTAATGGACCGCCAAGCTTCTCAGAATTATGCTTGATTTCATTAAAGTCACCAAGTACCACTCTTGGTTTTCTTTGGTAGAGTCCCGCTTGTGCCAACCGCTCCATCATGTTCCACATTATCTGCCTCGGTTTTCTCTCAGGATTACCATAAATGTATGTCATACAAAAGGTATCCCGGCCGTCTGATACATACATATCTGTATAATACAGAGTAGGAGGGGAGAGAAAATCACACTGAACTGTGTCGCGCCAAAAGATAGCCAATCCTCCGCTTAAACCATCCGGTGACAAGAGAAAATGGTGGTGAAATTGGAGTTCAGCGCCGAGTTGATGTACATAACTATCTTTATTCTTAGTTTCGACGAGGAACAGGATATCAAGCTTATACTTACGGTTGATATCCTTCAAAAAAGGAATTATCAGGGGGTTCCTCAAGCCCTGACAATACAGTGTAAAATCTTCATTCTGGCTGTGGTGGCTTTGGGGTTGCCACCTCCCCTTCAGCCATGGTCTAAATCGGATCATTTGTTCTTCTTCTTACAAAGGAAGTTCCATCATCAGCAAGTGTCGCATCAATCTTGCGTTTGGTACCTCGTTCCCGCGGTGAGACTGAAGTAGAACCTACTTCTCTAATGGTAAGAGTTTGATTGATGCCTGCTTGAAATTCAGAGTGATGAAGAAAATCCATTAAATCTCCTTGTGAGCCTGCAGGCAAAGGATTCTCAGATGTATCCATGTTAATGTTTGATCCAATTGTTTCCCCCATAGTATCATCCGCATCTTCAGTAGGTGTATGCTGCTCAGGCTCCAAGCGTCTATCTTGATTTGAAGCAGAAGGAGGAGCGGGTAGAGGAAGAGGCTCTGCTTCTTGGGCTTGAGATGAACAGTTTGCTGCCAAGTGTGTAAGGCTACCACAACTAGTACAGAACTTTCGCAGCTTGTCATAGATGTATCGAATTAGAATAGGCTCACGATAGTCTTCAAAGTTAAAGAAACGAGCAAAGAGTAACTTTCCAGAGATATTGATTGGAATCGTACCCATACTTCACTGGCTTTGTCCGCAGTTGGTTGTTGTATAAAGATATCTTCCACATGACCTAGAACCCCTCCAATCTCATCAATTGATCGTTTCTCCTTAGAATCATCAGGTATGTTGAGGATCTTAACCCAGAAGCGGATGAATTGAAGGTAGTCGGGACAGTTCCTCCTGGTCCACTTATCAACTACAACCAGCCAGTCTTTATAGGTCCAGGGACCATTATCCAGAACAGTTAGCATCTGATGTTCCTCCTTGAAGAAGAATTGTAAAGATCCATCTTCATTTATACGGCTATTGACTCTTCCTTCGAGCTTCCAAATCTTCGGCATCATGAGCTTAATTCCAGCTGGGTTCTGGGAAGGATGCAGGCCTTGAACAACCAGACTGAGTCTGTGGTCGGCCTCACGCTGCTTTTGGGCTTCGGATGAGAGCCTCAATGGACTTCGATCTGAACCCAAAGTCAGATTTTGGAGAGAAAACCACAAGTCCTTGTCACCCATAGGCAAGGAAGATGAGAAATCCGATAATCGGAAGAAAAATCCGGAGCTGCCAGAAAGAAAATCGCCGATCGGTGTGAGTCGGTGAAAGTCGCTTCTAGTGTCGCCGAGAGTCTTCTAGAGTTCTTTCTTTCTTAATGCTTGTTTAGTTTTACCTTCTTCCTATCTATTAATTACTATGGTAAAGTCAAAGTTTTACCATACTTCAAAACTTACTCTTTATGTCCATTTTTGTGAATTTTTGCAACTCAAATTTCAACTCTTTATACAAAATGTTTTAAATCTTCAATTTATTTTAAATACAAGAAATCAGATTTTATATTAATTGGTGTGAAATAAGCCGAATTAATTTTTATTTTCCTACATTAAAATTAAAGACAAAACTGTTAAACAAACTCTCTATTGTTTCAACAAATCAATTATTAAACTATCACCATTCCTTTATTTAAATTATTACCCATAATTAAATAATTAAAAAATCTATTAATTACAACGGTAAAGTCAAACTTTTACCAGAGTAAAAAGTCCATTTTTAATAAAAGAAAGTAAAAAACAGTTAATCTTTCGCGACTAATATTTCCAACTCTTTAAAAATGTTTTTAAATTTATTTTCAACCCAGCAAAACCTATTTTTTATACATTAATGAATGTTATTGGTTTGTGATTAACATAATATTATTATATAAATAAATTGGTTGTAGTAATAAGATTTAAAGAAAAAAAATATGATTGGTAAATATTAGTTTTTTTATATTATTAAAATAGATATTTTACGTATTACTTATATCCATAAAAAATAAAATTTCATAATATATATAAGGTACAGCCTTTCTAAAGACCATAAAATTGTATTTTAGAAAAAATTGTACGTACAACCAAAATAATTAAAAAATACTGCATTGATTCTAGTTCTGCTTCCAATACGGTCAAGCTAGAGAAGGGGATTTAGTCGAGAAGTCAATATTTCTCTGGATTTTTTTTTTTCTTTTGGCATATTTCTATGGAATTTAGTCAAGAGATTATATTTGTAAATTACTAAATCAAATCTTTTTGTTTGTTACCATCTTTTTCTCATCAATCACCAAACCTTGTTACTAGGTTCGGTACAAGTCTTGTTCAAAAAATCGTTAGGCGTTAATCGAGTGTTTTAAGACAAAATTTTATAATTTTGATAAAAAAAATTAAACATAAGTTATTGTAAAACACCACAACACTTCAATTTAAATGTTTGAATAACGAAAAAAAAGTTGTTTTGTACTTACAATCTAAAAATAATTAGAATATGCAAGATTAGGTACGAAGTAATCGGATTAGGCGGAAGGTAATCAGATTAGGCCGAAGAAAATCGGATTAGACAGAGAATAACTGATTTTTTAAGGGATTAGCCATTAACTAAAATGGATAGAGTGGGCTTAACGATTAAACGGGACGTAATTGGAGATAGGCGGAATTTTTGGAACAAGGGATACAAGTATAAACAAATTAATAAATTATTTTCTTAATACTAAAATCCGTGATTTCGTTATTAGTTTACAGTTGTTATCTACAACGGATAGATGACACTAGATCATTTTTTAAAATTATTAAAAATAAGAAATAATTAGTTATACGCTGTCAAAAAAAATAAATAATAATAATAATTAGTTATACTGTATTATTAACATTTAAAAAAACGGTCCGGTTCTAAAGGTTTAACACAAATGTTTCACCCGGCTGTGCTCAGTTACGGCCCTGTTGTGAAATCGACCAAGCAGACGAAGAGCAAAAGGAAGACTAATGTGGTAGACTGTAGACAAGGAGATTTTGGTGAAGAAGTCAATATCTCGACTTCTGTGGAATTTAGTCAAGATTGTGTTTTTGTATATCCAAATATCTCTTTTTTGTTTGTTACCATCTTTTGCGCAGTAAAAAATAATAAACTTTTATATAAAATTTATTTTTAATACTATAATTCGTAATTTTGTTAATAGTTTAAAGTTAATTTATACTATGATCTTATTTAAAAATACATTCCATTTCTAAAGGTTGATTTGAGCTTTAACAATTTCAACGGTTAAGATGTGTTTCCGGTTCGGTTGTATAAACCGGTATTTTACCATATCCAACCGAAATGAGTATCGACGGGAATTATCCGTAACAGAGTGACAGTGAGGTGTGAAGGAAGAAGACGATGGCGTCGATGTCTCTCTCCTTTTCTTCTTCGCTATGTTCGTCTCGAATTCCCGAAGGAAAGCGTAGGTTTCGTCACAGAGATGCGAGCTTCGTACGATGCGTTTTGGCTGCTTCTAAATCTTCTCCGGGAAGTGTTACGAAGAAGAGGCTTTGGAAAGACGGCGAATTTCCCGGAATCACGGAACCTGTTAATCCGAGAAGAACTCCGATTAAGAATGTGAAGAAGAAACTTGACAGGAGAAGCAAAGCTAACGGATGGGCTAACACCGTCACTGAAACTTTGTCCGATCTCATCGCCAAAAAGCAGTGGTTACAAGCTCTTGAGGTACTTCAATTTTCTCTCTTCTCGGTTCATAATTGATTGAATTTTAACTGAAATTGGAGATTCTCTAAGCAATTTAGTTGAACTATGATTTTGCTTCAATTGGGTCTTGTGTTGATGATCTTAGGTTTTTGATATGTTGAGGGAACAAACGTTTTATCAACCAAAGGAAGGAACTTACATGAAGCTGCTTGTTCTTCTGGGGAAATCTGGTCAACCCAATCGAGCACAGAAGCTGTTCGACGAAATGCTTGAAGAAGGACTTGAACCAACTGTTGAACTCTACACTGCTCTTCTCGCTGCTTACACTCGTAGCAATCTCATCGACGATGCTTTTTCAATTCTTGATACAATGAAAGGCTTGCCTCAATGCCAACCTGATGTTTTCACGTACAGCACTCTGCTCAAGGCGTGTGTGGATGCTTCTCAGTTTGACTTGGTGGATTCGTTATACAAGGAAATGGACGAGCGTTTGATAACTCCAAACACTGTTACCCAGAACATAGTTTTAAGTGGGTACGGTAGGGTCGGAAGGTTTGATCAGATGGAGAAAGTTTTGTCTGATATGCTGGTGAGTACTGCTTGCAAACCCGATGTGTGGACTATGAATATCATCCTTAGTGTGTTTGGGAACATGGGTAAGATAGACATGATGGAGAGCTGGTACGAAAAGTTCAGGAACTTCGGGATTGAGCCAGAGACTCGTACTTTCAATATTTTGATTGGTTCTTATGGGAAGAAGAGAATGTACGATAAGATGTCGTCTGTCATGGAATACATGCGGAAGCTTGAGTTTCCATGGACAACATCGACCTACAACAATATCATCGAGGCGTTTGCGGATGTTGGCGATGCAAAGAACATGGAGTTGACATTTGATCAGATGCGTAGCGAAGGTATGAAAGCAGACACAAAGACCTTTTGCTGTCTCATAAATGGATATGCCAATGCCGGTCTTTTTCACAAGGTCATAAGTAGTGTCCAGTTGGCTGCTAAGTTTGAGATACCCGAGAATACTGCCTTTTACAACGCGGTTATAGCAGCATGCGCTAAAGCCGATGATCTGATAGAGATGGAAAGAGTGTACACAAGAATGAAGGAGAGACAATGCGTATGTGATTCAAGAACGTTTGAGATCATGGTCGAGGCATATGAAAAGGAAGGTATGAATGATAAGATATATTACTTGGAACAAGAGAGGCAAAAGCTTATGGATCGCGCTGTAGCTACAAAAGAGATGGAGAATCTTCCAGCAGGATGATTGCCGTTTGTGGTATGTCTCTCTGCAAGGAGAGATCAGAGATCGATGACTTCCTTGAAAGAGTAGAATAAAGAGTTTGTAATACACTTGATTGTTCTTGCAGCTATGTGTATAAAGCGCTTTTTTTTTTGGTATTATGTTAAATGTTTGGTTATAACTTATATAACATATGAAGTAATCCGTATCTTGATAGCCAGAAATAAGAAATTTTGAAGTATCTACAAATCTTTTGTGTTATATTTGTTGATGGGCCAAAAATTATGAATAGAGCCCAAAAAGATAAAAAGTCTTGAGTCTTGACGTGCACAAGAAATCGGAAAATTGACTAGCCTTGCGGTAACTGCGTGTCGTCGTCTTCTATAAATAATCTCTCTCACCTTATACCGTTTCTTCTCGAACAAACAAAAACGAACCAACCAAACAAAAAATTGAACACATCCTCTGCTCTCTGCAAACAAACAAAAAACACCGATTCGGTCGGAAATCTGTAATGGGTATCGTTGTCAAGTCTTTCAAGGATCAATTCTCCTCTGGTTTGTTCGTTAATCTCTTTTTAATTCGTTGAGTTTTTCCTCGAAATTTGCTTCTGAAGCAAGTTTTCATCGTTTTTTTTTTTTGTTGGGGACATAGATGAACGATTGAAGGAGTCAACGAACATCATTGCCAAATATCCAGATAGAGTTCCTGTGAGTTATTTTATGCATGAATTCGTTTTATCTGTTTCTTGGTGGTTCCGTCTCAGTTGCCGTGCGATTGTGGCTTTCCTTAGGGTTCGAATGATTAGTCTAATTTTGACTTAATCCTTTTTCTTCAATTTTCTCGATTTTGCTAGACTTTCTTGGAATTTGGGTTCAATCTTAGAATTTGATGGATACGATCTGGGATCTGAAATTTGACTGATCCAATCACTCTGGTCTCTGGTCAATGTCGGAGACGACTTCTTTTATTTGAGATTTGATTTAGATCTTTAGTTATCATCACCAACAACAACCAATACAAATTTGATTTAGGGGTTTGGATGTGTTATTGGTTTGGTTTCTTCATCAATTTTCCAGCATTTATTTGATGGGTTTTTTTTTTTTTTTATAACTATTTAGGTGATCATTGAGAAATATTCAAACGCAGATCTGCCAGACATGGAGAAGAACAAGTGAGTTGTGATATCATTTTAGCTGTTGGAACTAACAAAGTGTAACCTGTCCAATTGAATGAATAATCTTATTCTAACCTGTGTCCCGCATTGGTTTATTGCAGATACTTGGTCCCACGAGACATGACTGTTGGACATTTCATTCATATGCTAAGCAAAAGGATGCAGTTAGATCCATCCAAAGCTCTCTTTGTTTTTGTACATAACACACTTCCTCAAACCGGTAAGAAGCATCATCCATGTAAAGACTTTACTAGTTTTCCAAAGCTTCCATTAACACTTTTTGTTACTGCAGCTAGTCGCATGGACTCTCTCTACAATACTTTCAAAGAAGAAGATGGGTTCTTGTACATGTGCTACAGCACCGAGAAAACTTTTGGCTAACCAAAGATTTGTCGCTTCATATCTGATCGAAGCGCACTCTGAATAATCCATTTGTTTGATTCTTATGTTTGTGAATAACGTCAGCTCTTGTTGTTGTTATTGTTATTGTTAGCTGACATTGTACAGAAAAGCTAAAAAAAAAAAACATTTGACTTTGTAAATTATTTATAACTCAAATATGGCAATAATAAGACAGGTGATGATGATTCACACGAAACCCATTTTGGTTTTTTGTTCTCCCCCAAAAGAAAAAAAATGGAACATAGACAGTTTCGTGCAAGCACGCAAGTTTGGGAGATAAGGTAAAATGAGGCCTAAGAAATTTCAATGTCGGTGCGGTAAACGTGACCTCTACGACTTGGATTGTGCGTTTTATGCGGATATACTAGTTTGCGTTTGAAACCATCTTTGAGACAAAAAAAAAATTATGAAACCATAGAATAAAACACGTTTGCGTTGGGGGATGCCATCCAAACATGGTCCAAAAGCATTGGAAATTTTGTGCTCTTTCATTTCAGTTATTTAGATTCGGATATTCCTTAACAAAAAAGGAGAAAAAGAAAGATGGATATTCTTAATTAATTGCCACATTCTTGATTATAATATAAATGTCGACTACAAACACGATAGTAGTATATAATAAAATAATCGATCTAGAACGTAATAATTGCGCTCCCAGTGTATTATGGTATTTTTATTTGCCAAGGGGATTAGATAAAGAAAGGATAACCAACAATGTAATTTTAAACAGAATTTTAGACACATTAAAGCAATGTATATATAGTCGTAAACTCGTATTCTGTGGTGGTTTTATTGTTTAAGATGCTTTTTAATGTGTCTAGACAAGCAGTTTTTCTAACACGACTTTAATGTGAAGATCTTAATTGCCATGGTTATTAATTAGACCCTTCCACAGTTCCACATATGTCAAAACTTTTTTTTTGTCAACAACAAAATGTTTTTAAATGATTAGATTATCAATTGAAACATCTTGCTCTAGACACATTCATCTAAATATAAAAATAACTCAAGGAAACCAAAAAAAATAATATTTTTATAAATATGTTGCTTGATAAATTTCACATTACACAATAAATTCAATGAGTACAACTCTGTGTTATTTGGGCCAAAATTGGGCCCATTTTAATAGATACACAGTTATATAGTTTAGTAAACTTTTGTGACTTGCCCAACAAACAACATTTTCGTTCAATACCCAAATGGGTTTTATCTTCTCAATAGGCCCGTCAAAAATTGCTGGAGACATTTATCCTTAGTTCTAGAGCTGCTTTGCTAGATTTTTGAAAGCAGCCATACTTAATTGTTTGTTTAAAATTGGTTTCAGTTCATGTTGTCTAGGTAATAGAGTTTTTTTCCCCTATATTCATGTTGTTTCTGTCCAAACCAAATCTCTATTCTTGTGTCTGTTATGTTAGTAGAGCACGTGTACATTGGTTTTCGAAATTTCCTTATGGTTCTGATAAGAAGGAATCAAAGCATAATCTTGAGGTAGTAAATCTACTGATGCTTTCAGGTGGGACTTGGAATTGAGAAAGAGAGAAATTCAACTCGTCGAAGCCCCGATTCGAAGATGTTGAGGTATCTAAACCCTCTTTGGTGCTATCTGGATTAGGATTAAGGAATATAACAGTTTAGAATATATTTGTTGTTGACTGTTTCCTTGGACCTTTCTTCTTAATCTTTCTAAGGTATCCTCTGATGAAGATGGGTAGCAAAAAAAATAAAAAACTCTTACGCTGGCTTCACAATATGAAAGAAAAGAAAACAAAAAGAATAAAGGTTAAATCTCTCCTACACACACCTTTTATATCAGTCTTTCTTCTTTCTTTTTTGTTGTTTCCCCCACACAATGATTCTACAATCTTTATGAGTCAATGTTTCTGTGTATTCCTGTCGGTAAAAGTTTTTGGAAGCAACAGATGAACTGTGGGTGAAGATGCATATGCCATTGTGAAAAGACACAAGAAGTAGCTAGTTGTCTGGTCCTCTATGAGTTGGTTGAAGATGGTTTTTACTTAGTCCGGTTTAAAGAATCAGCTTCTCTTATTCACCACTATGGTTCGGTTAGTGGAGTTGTTTGCGTTGTTATCCTTAGAACCAATGTCTTCATTTCTATTAATAAAATTAAGAGAACATTGTACGAGACAAAGATCCTTTTAGCCAAGTTTTAGCAACAAAATGAAACCCTAATTAGGATATTTTTGGTGATACTATACTCAATTTCCATGGTTTTAGATATCTTTTGGAATTTATATTCTTGTCTTTAGATGAATTTCTAGTCAAGTTAAAGTTTTATCACTATCTCTATATTAAAATCAACAGTACTTAAGACGTACTTGTATAATTTACCTTGAAAAGAAAAGAAAAAAAAAATACTACTAAAAATTATATAAGCAAAAACGTCATGCAACAAATAAGACAACGATGTTATCGTGTCCAATATTATAAGGGATTAATAGTAATTATAAAATTAGAAAGCAAAGTACTGTTAATATAATGCAATTTAATTAAAAAGAAAAAGAAAAAAAAAATTGATCTCGCCGACATTTGGTAGATGAAGAAAGGAGGGATGTTATGGTCCAAAAGATCCTTTGGGGAATAACAAAATCTCCAAAAGCTGGTCACATGTGGCTCATTCTTGTCCAAGTCATAGCTTCTTCACATCTTTTTTATTTTATTTTATTACAAATAACTTTATTATCACTCTTAACTTCCTTTGCAAAAATGCTTTTAATGCTCTCATTCGGCTGACTAATTTTCACTTTTCGACTTTACAAACCAAAAAAAAAAAAAAAAAGCTTTTTGTTTCTGCCATGCGGTGACATGGAATTAATCTCGAATTTGGTTTTAACCATCAAGACTTTTAATACTTTTGTACTTTCAATTTCAATTTAATTCTTGATTATTCGCATTTGATATGATTTCTTTTGTATCTGCAAGATCTTGGATACTTTTAATTTTCAGTTATGCAGCGTATTAAAATTGATTCCATTAATGGTATCAATAAGTATACTTAGAAGTTAGAACCTCCAAAAAGCTTCTTTGAAATCAAAAAATTCTATAAAGTAAAAATTTACTTTTTGGGAACGAATTACCTAAGATAATATAGCAAATATAAAAGTTGTGCAACATAGTTTATTGAGAAATATAGTTGTTACACAAAAATTTGTGACGGATACTATTTGTAACCATTGTATAGAAATTTGTTTTGACATTTAATAGTAGAACTAAGAGACTAAAGCAACAAACAGACTAAATTGTTTTCTTTTTTGGTTCTACAATTTTCACAAATTTTATCGGATGTAAACATGGGTTTATGATTAGATGGTGACAATGCTGAAACAAACTAATACTCCCTCCGTTTCACAAAGAGTGTCGTTTTAAGGTTTTAATCTCGTTTCACAAAAAATGTCGTTTTGTGTTTCAATGTAGTTTTAAATATTAATTCTCTTTTTTATCTCTACTATTTTAGCTTATTAATTAGAAAGAGAGTATTATTTAGTGTATTAATAAGGGGTATAAATGAAATTTGTTTACTTTTCTTAATTTGTGTGAAAAATGTTAAAGTGACACTCTTTGTGAAACAGAGGGATACGATATGCGAATGTTTTGAGTTTAATTCTATTTGGTTTCTCATTATTAAAAATAAGTCTCATTAAATGGAACAAAAAAACTCCAATTAGTTTAAATCTTAAACTTTTTATGAAGAGAATGGGCTTTTTTACCTACTACACTCAATGAGCCCCTCTGGTTCGTTTGGTCATCAGTTCAATGGACAGTGACTTTGGAATAGATCTCGACCGTTGGTCATCATCACCCCAATGCTTTGTGTTGCCGTTGGATTGGTCATGTCATGACCAAACCAATTTGACTTCTTTAAAGTGATGTAAAAAGTCTCATTGCTCCCAAATAATCTTCTAAACCATCCACGCGCATGCCTGAGCAACTGAACGTCAAACGCTACAGTAGATCCAAATTAAGAAAATGGGAACACAAATTTTTTGTTAGTGACTATCAATTTATGGATTACTAAATGACTGGTGAGTGGGTGACCAAAATCATTTGTAAGAAATATTTTTGATTGGCTTGTTCTTCTTGTAACAGTTGCATCTTTAGTACTTAGTTTATTATACATGTAAATTTATGGAAAATGGAGTTTAGTGGATGGAAACAAACAATATCAGTCACACGATACTATTTTGCCCATGCTCAATGGACATCATGTTTTATTTGTTTCTTGACAAGTAGAGAGATTCATCGCTTTTTAAATTCAAACTTTCATTTTGTAGTGGCAGCCTTAATTGTCTTTGACACATAACTCCAATTTCTTCATGGAAGTGTCGTAGTCCATTGATTAAAATAAAAAGTAGAATAACTAATCGCTATTATTTTAACAAAGAAATAATCCAAAGTAATTTTCGATTAACATCATTTTGATTTGCAAACGTTTACTTAAATATAGTAATTGTATAAAAACTTGGCTACAAAAAGATTTTATATAATCTAGTACTGTATATTATCTATATAAAATCTAACAGTCTAAATAATCAATGTCCCTTTCCTAAACATGAATGTAGTACAATTAAACAACAAATAGAAATTTATAGACTCAATGATTTAAAGTACCACCCAATATGGCAGCCTAGTGATTGTTGTAATAAGCTTTTCTAAAATATTTTTACCTGATTTTCAAGCTTTATAATTGTAGTTCATATTATTTACAAACAAAAATATCTACGTAAATTTTTCGTTATCTTTTAATTTTTAAAAATATATTTTGGTATTTTACGGAAATGTTAAAAAGAAAAGAAATAGAGAAGAAGAAACAAGAAAGAAAATAAAATAGAGAGAAGAGAGAGGTCACTAATTGTCTATGCTTGGCGCGTATATTAATTAACCACCACCGGCAAAACACCCACGAAAAAGGCGACCACGCATAAAGAAAGATCAAAACTTCCCCATCACTTCCAAAAAGCATTACACACACACACAGAAAAACTTGTTACAGGGAAAATAAAATAAAAATCGTAGCCGAAAATTATAAAAAACAAATATTTAATTTTTTTTAGTTCAAAAAAGTTTCAGCTTTGAAGGCAGAGAGAGAGAGAGAGAGATCAAGCAACTGAGAGTGGTGTTGAAGCGAAACTACGATCTTCTTTTTCTTTTCTTCTTTCTCAGATTTTCACAACACTCTTCTTTGATCGGAGCTCTAACATTCCGACAAAAGCTAAAAGACTTCCTCTTTAGCTGTTTTGAGGGATTTGTCTCCCTCTGTAGAGATTAGGGTCTATCAATGGAGCGGTACGGTCGCGCCGGTGAAGAAGGGTCGCGATCGGATCCATCTCTTGAATGGACCTCTCATGGAGGTGAAACCGGACTCGAAGGTAATGTCTTGTTAAAGGTTTGATTTTTTTTTGGGCTTAATCTGCGATTAGAGCTGTGAGGTTAAAGGATTTTGATTCAAATGCGTGTTTTTTTAGCTTCGATGTGGCGGTTAGGGTTGAGCGGCGGCGGAGGAGAATCCTACCCGGAGCGACCCGACGAGCCTGATTGTATTTATTACTTGAGAACCGGCGTTTGCGGGTACGGGTCAAGATGTCGGTTTAATCACCCACGAGATCGTGGAGCGGTAAAAGATTCCCAATTTTAGATTTTTCTTATTATTCACCAATTTCAGTTCAGATCAGTTACTGAGTCTGATGATCTGATCGTTAGATTGGTGGTTACTGGGCATTGTTGAATTTAGCAGAGACACAAACCAAATTGCTTGAGAAATTTGTTGGTTTATTGTGTAAGCTCTGATTTGATGTTTAGGTTATTGGAGGTGTGAGAGGAGAAGCTGGAGCTTTACCGGAGAGGATGGGACATCCGGTTTGTCAGGTTTTGTTATCTGAATCATTTTCCGATCAAACAATGTTCCGGTTTTGAGCAATGCACTTTCAATTTCTCTGCTTTTGTTTATCAAAAAATTGTGAACTTTAGATTGTTTTTTTTTTTTGTTTTGTTTCAGCATTTTATGCGAACGGGAACGTGTAAATTCGGTGCTTCTTGCAAGTATCATCATCCTAGGCAAGGAGGTGGTGGTGGTTCCGTTGCACCCGTCTCGCTTAGTTATTTGGGATATCCATTACGCCCGGTTTGTGTTCTAATCTCTCTAATGGTGTTATTGGTTTGTGGATGCTTCCACATTGTCTTGTATGATCTCTAAAAGCTCTTCAATATTTGATTACAGGGAGAGAAAGAGTGCTCTTATTACTTGAGAACCGGTCAGTGTAAATTTGGTTTGACTTGTAGATTCAACCATCCCGTGCCACTCGCTGTACAGGGTCCACCTCAGCATCAGCAACAGCAACAGCCACAGCTACAGACTATTTATCCGACACTTCAGTCTCAATCCGTTCCTTCCTCTCAACAATATGGGTTAGTTTTGACAAGGCCTTCTCTTTTACCTGGTTCATATCTTCCAAGCCCTTACGGTCCTCCAATGGTTCTGCCTCCGGGAATGGTTCCATACTCTGGTTGGAATCCTTACCAGGTAATCCATCTCTGAAGCCTTTATCTCGCTTTTGTGGAGTTCTTCAGTGCTACTCTTTTCCTAAAAGAATCGATCGATTTTTCAGGCTTCTTTAAGTGCAATGCCTTCGCCTGGAACTCAACCGTCTATTGGATCAAGCTCTGTTTATGGAATCACGCCGTTATCTCCTTCAGTGACTGCATATACAGGAGCATATCAATCTGGCCCGTCTTCAAATACCTCAAAAGAGTTTCCTCAGCGACCTGATCAACCCGAGTGTCAATACTTCATGAGAACCGGTGACTGTAAATTCGGATCCTCTTGCCGATACCATCATCCTGTAGATGCAGTTCCACCTAAGACTGGCCTTGTCCTGAGCTCCATTGGCCTTCCACTTCGTCCCGTAAGTCTTTCATTTAATCCAAGATGATATTTTTAAGTCTTGATGTGACACATTTCAATGTATTTGACAGGGAGTAGCGCAATGCACTCACTTTTCTCAACACGGAATCTGCAAGTTTGGACCGGCGTGTAGGTTTGATCACTCAATGAGTTCTTCGCTTAGCTATAGTCCGTCTGCATCATCACTAACCGATATGCCCGTGGCTCCATACCCAATCGGATCATCCTCACTCAGCGGCTCATCAGCTCCAGTAAGCTCAAGCAATGAACCCACCACAGAGGCTGTGACTGCTGCTGCAGTTTCCACTTCTATGGTCAGTGGCTTGAGCCGTCCAGAGCCAGCTGAGACGAGTGGTGACTCGGCCAGCGTCAGTGGCAGCATAGAAGCTAAGACTTCAAGTTAAAAAAAAAAAAAAAAGAGAGAGGAAAATACCCTCAATTCTTCATAAACTAAGCAACATTAAGTAAAAAGAAAAAAGAGAAAAGAAGATTATTTTTGGGGTCAGAGATTCGATGGAAGCAGAGAGACCAAAGCTTCTGTCATTGACCATTTGTCCATATATAATATATTCTCTCATACGGCCATCTCTCTATCTCTCTCCCTCTTCTTTATTTTTCTTGAATAACGATTACTAATAAATGGCCTTATTCAAGCGACATTCATGAGATGTCCCCTGTTTTTATTCGTTCATGAATCTGGAGGAGCAATTTAAAATGTCTACGAACATAGAAAGAGGGCACACGTTCTCTCTTCCTCATTCTTGTAATTTGGTATCCAATGACATCTACATTCAATCATTGCACATTGCACGAACAATGCCTATGTATCTTCTTTCCACAAAAGTATCAGCTCTAATAAATAAAATGCAACCGTTGAACACAGAACTACAGAAGTAATGGAAAAAATCGAGTGTTCATAATTCCCTCAGAAACTCGTAACTTTAGCTTAAGCATCGGCCTAAGTTGCCATCCAATGGCCTCAAATCTTTTTGTTCAGTTTCTTTAGTTGAATATTAAGTCTACAAATTATAATTAAGTAATTTCATTAAATCCAAGTCAAACCAGCCGACAAACATTCACGAAAGCAGAATGAAATCCATTTGCTATGTTTTTGACATTAGCTTAACTATATGTAACAACAAAGACTCAACAAATCAATAAACACATAATCTCATCTCATCGACAGGTGCTTTCGCTTCTTCGTCGATGAAGGACTCTCACTGGCTTGTCTTCCTAAAGGTCGTTTTGATGGTGTTGCACTCTTCAAAGATTAAAAACCAGAAAAGTATTAAGCACTTAAAGAAATCAAATCAAAAGAATACAACTTTCTACGTGAAATATTGCATTCTTTTACCTTTGCGAGCTTCTTCTCTTTACGGGCTTGCCTCTCTCTTTCATCAAACTCCTGGTTCTCTTTCTCGATCAGTCGAATCAGGGTGTCGCATCTTCTTGCAAGTTCCTGACTCGTGCGAGATTTCACAAACCAGTCGAACCTGAACAAAGGCGATGTCCTGAATGCTGCCTTCAGCTCATCCCAATTCCCATACCCAAGTTTGTGGATCATGCAGATCTGTTTTTGACCACCAAAGTTACCCAATAATCAAACTTCATGATAAAATTAGTGAAACAAAATAGCAGATAAGGAAACGAGGAAAAGACATACCATGAAACGGTCGCACTCTTCATTGTACAACTTTCCTTTGTTCTGACCATATTGAATCTTCAGTTCCAGCCAAGGGTTTCTGTAGCGATCCAGCTTCTTCCCTATGGCTTTCATGATTTCGTCTTTCCTAGAGATCCTTGCCTCTCCCCTCTCAATATTCTTAATGATTCTATCATAGTCTACATATTTAGAGGGAAAGATGATAAACTTACTTAGCCTATGCTCTTTTCTGAGGTAGGAATTACTTAGCAATATGTAAGAACACTGCATATATTACTTAGCATTGATAAGTGTTACTTACCGTTCAGCTCCTTGTATCGCTCTTTGAATACTTTGGCATATCTTTCAACTTCTTCCTCTGTTTTCCCTTCCATCTCAGAGGCAATGCTTTTTATGTCGTTGCGGCCATACTTCTCACATGCCCTGAGGAAAGTATTGAAATCTCTTCTACTCCATGTTGAGAAACCCTGGAGATTGACAAATACAAACAATTATATAAAGCCTACAAATCAAATGTCTAAGACCACTTTAACAAACATATTCACTTGCCTCCTCCAATAATAGCTCCTTTTCTTCTACTTCTTCAGCAGTTAAGGGATCTCCACCTTCTAACAAAAAATTTCTTAATCAGTAATAGGTTTGCTGAAAAACATGTTTAACAAAGTGGGCACATGCTGAGAAACTGAGCTTGACCTTCTGGTTCTTCAACATCAATTGTGTCTTTCAACTGATTTTTCTGATGTGTTTGCTGAAACCAAAGTGAAGCAAGTTGCTTTTCTTAGGCAAAAAACTCGCTCTTAAGCACATCAAAGGAATTACAAGTGTTTCGTTTAGAGAGCCCTACCATGAGATAGCGTACTTCCTTTTCATACAACTCGGTCAATCTCTGAATGTTAAAGAACTGGAAATCGTGCCTGAAAGATGGACAATAAATTAGATTTCTAGTGTAAGAAAACCATCAAGACAGGGGAGAGGCATTCAACAATGAGAATAGAGTTTGTTGAGGTACTCACAACTGGGGCATGCGCGGAATTCTAGGCTCTTTAGGTTTAGCTGGAGCACCTTGCCGCAATGTTTGCTTAAAGTATTCAGATTCAGAGTAGCTGGAGATACAGTAGATAAAACAAAAGGGATGTTTCTGTTAGATAAAAAGTTTATGAAGACTGGCGAAATAGGACTGGACAATGTATAAGACAGAAGTATCATTACTTGCGCTTTCTCTCCCGTTTGGGGGGATCATTCCAGTTGTCGCTCACAATCTTCTTAAAATCGAGCTTGTTTTCATCCTATGAACAAAATTAACAAATATACCAGTAAATTTTATTTTCGGTAATGCAGAGCAAAGCTAGGGATATGACATGAAAGTTTAGACTATGCAAAGAAATATACAAGTTACCTTATTGTCATCATCAAAATCATAGAAGTCAGCACCTACAACAAATAAAACAGCAGATTATCAAAACATTGCAATATTCACACAACGTAATAGGGCGAAAATAGGTCAGTGACACCCATACTGTCATCCATTTTAAACTGTATCGCATCTTCTGTGAATTTCTTCATCTTGGCATCAAGTTCAGCTGTTGCCTCTTCTCCTTTGGCAATGATTCTATCAATATCCTCGTCTGTGATTGTGCTATCTTTAGAACTGAACACCATCTCAGCACCATATCTTACCATTTGAAGCAACTCATCCTTATTGACAGCTGCATAGTTAAGATAAATATTAATTCTGTCAGAGATGAACCAATGCATAACGCAATCACTGTACAAGGCACTTACTTTTCTGTTCTGCCAATCTCCCTTGTTGAATAACCAGAGCATCAAGTGCTAACTTCTTGTAAGCTCTTTCAATCACTTTCTCCTCAATAGCAGACTGTAAACAACCAACACATAATTAATTGCAAACCCTCATGGCTGTTCTAATTTGAAATTCACGGGGAGAAGACCAACCTCAGTGCAGAATCGAAACACTTGAACTTCTTTTTTTTGACCAATTCTATGGGCACGATCCTGAGCTTGCAAGTCGACTTGTGGGTTCCTGCCAGAATCCGCCAGATTCGTCAGACATTAAGAGAAAACTCATAAACTACAGTGGCCAATAAAAAGAGACTTACCAATCACTATCGTACAGGATAACAACATCTGCAGTAGCAAGATTGATACCAAGCCCTCCAGCTCTGGTAGATAACAAGAAAACAAATTTCTCACTTCCTGGCTTGTTGTAGGCTTCTATGGAGGCATCTCGTTCGTCACCACCAGTGTTTCCATCAATGCGGCAATATAGGTAACCACGATACATTAAATAGTCCTCAAGAATATCCAAAAGTCTTGTCATCTGACATGAGGAAAGAAAAGAACAAGGCTCAGACTTAACATAGACAAAGGAAAAAGAGAAGATGAACTGTAAGAAACCATTATATCCAGCTGTTCTGTTAGCATTTACCTGAGAAAATATCAGAACCCTTGAATCACGTTCTTTCAACTTAGGAAGCAATTTATCCAAGAGAACCATCTTACCTAAAAATAACAATATAGAGATGCTTCATTAAAAAATTTCCACAGAAATCTGAAGGATCTAGTTTATTTCTAGCCTTACCCGCATTTGTTATAAGGTGATCTCCTGTGGTATATGGGGGACCAGGTTCTGCACCCTGGAAGAGATAAGGGTGATTGCAGCATTTACGCAGTTGCATTGCAATGTTTAGCAGACGTTTGCGTTCTCCACCAGCATTAACCGCTTCAAGATCCTTCTGCAGTAAAGCCTTGTAGTATTGCTTTTGCATCTGAGACATACCAACTTTAAGTATGGTCTCCTTCTTCGGTGGCAAACCTTTCTCAACATCTGACTTTAGTCTTCGAAGAAGAAATGGTCGAAGAACCTAAAAAGATACATGAAAGCGATTAACCTACGACTTTCACAGAACAGAATAAACTCAATGGAAGGAATACATCCATACCTTGTGAAGTTGTTGAACAACTTCTTGCTGGTCATTCTCACCAGAAATTTGAAACCATTCATCAAAAGTCTCTGCTGAACTAAAAATCTCAGGCAGAAGAAAATTTAGAAGAGCCCACAGTTCATGGAGATTATTCTGCATATATGAAAACAATATGAGTACAGCAAGCTACACAGCATTCATTATACGGGAAATATTAAAATGTGCAAGGAATGGAAAAGCAAAAGTTAAGAGTGCAAACAGACTCGTACAAGAAAGGTTGTTTCAACATACTATTAGAAGCAACTTAACAAAGAAAACTTCAGTGTCCAGATAGTCAAGAATAGGATAGAGCAAACACCTGAAGGGGGGTTCCCGTGATAAGAAGCCGATAATTGGTGCTAAAAAGTCTCATGGTTTTAGAAAGGAGTGAATTCTCGTTCTTGATTCTATGCGCTTCATCGATGATAATATAACGCCAGCTAAACCGACGAAGTGCTGTCTTCTCTTTGATGGCCATCTCAAAGCTTGTGACGCAGATATCAAATTTCCCAGCAACTAGCAGGTCGTCTCGAATATGTCTCTGTATTATTTAGCAGACATCTCAGAATCCTGGGATAAACATTTACATGAAACTCTGAAATGGCAGACAGCTCATGACTTACCCTCTCCTCAGGATTACCAAGGAACTTCACAGCACGTAGGACAGGACAAAACCGGCGAATTTCGTTCATCCAATTACCAAGTGTTGATTTTGGAGCAACCACCATATGGGGACCATTGATTCCCCTGTATTCATGAAGGTATGCCAACAAAGAAATTGTTTGAAGCGTCTTCCCCAGACCCTAGACCAGAGGACAAAAAATGGTTTTCAGGATTAGCATGATAGAATATAGAGAACTTATTCTGCTTGGATGGGGGAGAATTGTTTACCATTTCATCAGCAAGAATTCCATTTATGCCATTCTCATACAGCCGAATGAGCCAGTTTAAACCAGCTAATTGGTAATCTCTCATCTTCCCTTGAATACCTGTCGATTGAGAAGAAAAAAATGATGAATCTCAAGATTTCCCAGTAATTTACGCTATACTACCTAGTAACTGTGAGGTCACAGCAATATGTATAGGTTACACAAATGGACGGAGATGTCAATCATATTGTACTTGTTGCTCGCGACTAGACAGACGATCCATATACAGCAATCCTAGACTAAAGAGCAAAATACAGGTACTTACAAGAGGGCTGTGTGAGTAACCGTGTGTTTCCAGATCCAGTTAAGCCATCCTCTTCTTCCTTTAGATACTCTTCGTCTTCCTCCTCTTCAGTTATTTTGGAAGCATGACGACCCCTGAAGGTAAAATTTAAAACCAAGTATATCAGGGTATGCTCATCATATTTATTATGAGACCAGGATCGATGAATAAACGATATTTTAGGAATCAATTGCATCCAACACACCTTCCTTTAGCCTTCTTCTGAGAAGAAGATGCATCACCTTTAGCAAAGTGTGCAAATAACTCGGTTTGCTGCAGGAGATACTTCAGTCTCCCTTTTCCCTTGTTGTTCTAAATACATGGAATGATTCAAAATCGTCAAAACCCAAAATCACAAGAAGGAAAAGCAGCTCAAAACATGAAATATTCACTTCAAACAACGCACCATATCCGCGTCAATGGAAGCATTTTGTGATTCCAGCATCTCTTGAATCTTCTGCTTCTTCAACTTCTGCATCTCTTTAAGTCTGGCTTTCTCACGTTTGCTGATTTCAGCTTTTTCCTCATCTTCTTCGTCCTGCATATACCACAATGATTCAATGAACTTTCACGCAACGACTAAAATTAACAAACGAAGGAAGACGCAGTTCACTGAGAATTCAAAAATCACAGCCATCAAAACGAAATTAGCAAGCACCTACCTCGTAATCATCTTCTACGGGAGCAGCCTCTCCGTCGGAGACTGGGGATTCGTCGGCGGCGACTACTTCGTCATCGTCGGAGCCAGAAGAACGAGCAACAGCCTCGAGCTCCTCCTCATCTTCTTCTTCATTATCCTTAACCCGCTCTTCTTCCTCCTCTGACGAGAATGCCTCATCGGAATTCGAATTTCTCGCCATGGAAGCTACGAAATCTGCTTTCGCCTTGAGATCGAGGGTTCGCTTCGCTTGTTGAAAAGTAAAATAAAAAATAAACTAAAGTGTGAAAATTTTTAGATACAAATTGCAAAACGACCGAAGCTTCAGGGTAATTTATGACCGTTGATTAAGCTGATTAAATCTACGGCTACGATGTAACTAGTCGCTTCGTCGAATGAAAATTACCCGCCAACTGAGCAAGAGAGTTTTGGAACATTCCCGCTTTGGACTTCGTTTGTTCATAAGTGGGCCTGATTGACCCAGAAGGCCCACTTTCAAGCCCGATTTTTCCCAACTTATTACGATGCTGGAGCTGCTCGAGAGAAAGATTCTCCACTTAAATAATTTTTTATCTTTGTATATTTTGATTGATCATCGACCCCTAATTGTTAAAGCTTTCTCTAATTTATATATTTGGATTTACTTAAACATGTTAGGTATAATTAAGTAAGATATGAAAGAAAATAAAACATGATGAGATTCATATATTATTTCTGTTAGGTCTGAGTTTTTGTGTTGTCCTTGACTTGTGTGCACTCTGTCTTGGCATCAAAAGATAAAGTTTGGTGATTTTGCTTAGACAAAACTACTCTCTTTCGACTGGATTAGTATCTGAAATAGTTTTATCCATGTTATAACATTATAATATGTTTGAGAAGTGGTGATGCTTCTGGAATTTTGGGTTCTTGCAGTTTAATGTTCTTACGTGAAATAAGATATCCATTTACATAATTTGCAGCCACGAGTAGAAAGCAAAGTGATACCTAAGAGCATGTATAAAATTACTTGTTTTCATGCAGATGATTGACTAACCACTCCCTACTGTTCTTTACTTTTTTATTTTTATCATCTTGATTATCGTCGCCCAATTCCCTCACCAACCTTCCTGGGGTTGGCCTAACACATTCCTATTGTATCTACATTATCCACAACTTTATACATATAGAAATATTAAATATATTTGAATTTTCTGTTAATCAAAAATAGAGATGCAATTTTGTTTTTATGTATTACAAAGATTTATAGAAACTTTTTGACTGATGAATATATGTTAACGTTGAAATAAAACTATAACATCTAGTGAATTTGCCAAAAACTATTTACAAATGTTAAACAACGAAAAATGCATGCTAGAAAATTAAATGAATTGAGATTCAAGCTCCTATATAATTGTTGTACAATTCAAACAAAAAAAGTATACACCATAATTGTTATATAAACTTGTTTTCTTGGCGTGTGGGTAACCACAACTCATCACACCAGGACTATATATACTCACAAATATATTCTCATGTAGCGGCCAAATTCATAACTCACAGTCCAAAGAAACAACAACCCACAAAAGAGTTATATAATCATCCGATGGCATCTACTGAGAACCCTGACCCAGAAACTGGCAAATCTGAACCGATTCCCGCATCGGCTACAACACCACCTCCCTCAGCCGCTAGTTTCCTAGATTGTCGTAAAATAGACGTTATAATAAGAGTTCTGCTTTTCTCCGCCACTCTGACTGCTCTTATAGTAATGGTGACCAGCGACCAGACCGAGAAGACTCAGCTCCCTGGAGTTTCTTCTCCGGCTCCTGTCTCCGCCGAGTTCAATGACTCTCCCGCTTTCATGTTTGTCTCTTTAACTAAATTCTTCCATGTTTAATCATAATCAAAAACTGCGTTTTAGTTTAAACTTAATGTGTTGTTGGCTATCTATGCAGATTCTTCGTGGTTGCTCTTGTGGTGACTAGTTTCTATGCGCTCATGTCAACACTTGTCTCCATCTCTCTACTCTTGAAACCTGAGTTTACTGCACGGGTCTCCGTTTACCTAGCGTCCTTAGACATGGTAACTTGTTTTACAAGTAACTTTGAATCTTCTATACCAAGTTAATTAGGGTGTTTGTAAGTATAAATCCGGAATTATGTATATGAACAGGTGATGCTGGGGATTTTGGCGTCTGCAACGGGAACGGCGGGAGGAGTTGCGTACATAGCGTTGAAAGGAAACAAAGAAGTTGGGTGGAACAAGATTTGTAATGTCTACGACAAGTTTTGTCGTTACATCGCAACTTCGCTTGCCTTATCTCTCTTTGCTACACTTCTTCTTCTAGTTTTATCCATTTGCTCAGCTCTCTCCAAGAGAACTCCATGAACAAAACAAAAGCTCTAAATCCATCATCTCTCTGTACCGTGTATTTGTTCACACGTGTGTGTATGTCTTTGTGTCTGATTTGGTCTCTATTTTTTTATTTTTTAAAGACCTGATTTGGTTTGTTTCTTTTTTTTTTTTTTTGTGGTTTGTTTTGTAACTTTTGTTATGTTATATTTAATGTAAGCATGCGTTTCTAATAGAAACTTTCTATATAGTACGACGTATAGTTGAATTCGTGTATCTCTTGCCGTAATATGTAACTTCTTTATCGGAAATTAGGTTTTGATGTACAACAAATTAAGATTCCAGAAAACTCAATATTCAGAGATTTCTAAATATTTCAAAGAGATTCTGCTTTTTTTTTTTCTTTCCCAGTGACCTTTTTTTGACGTTTAATTCGTCGTCACGAAATTAAAAGTCCTCGTCATATTAAATGCGCGGGGAGAAAGAAAACGAAAATCATAATAAGCAGCTGCAAAAACTATCGCGTTCTAATTATTGTTCTTATATAAATGAAATCGAAATCCTCAAGAAAATCCATATTTGAAAAGAGTCCCTCGTCTTTCTGAATTCTGATTCAAATCTAAAATCAAGTTTCTTTCTTCTCAATCCATTGTTTTTACGATCTTTGGTTTTTTGTTGTTCTCAAATGGAAGTTTCGGTGATTGGAAATCCTCAGGGGAGGATCTGTAGAGTAGAATTAGCAGAGAGGGTCAATAGATTTTGCATTGGGTCTGAATTCATCTCGATTAATGCAAGAACTCACGTTAGCTTCTATGGAGAAACCAGGAGGCGAAACGAGATCAACCTCTGTTTCTCGCAATGCTCTATCAGATGCGAAGCCGTCGTCTCTGATAAATCTCCGTTATTGAAATCAACTCCAAGAAGAACTAGATCGGTAACATATTATGTTTTATTTAATTAACAATGCTTTTTCCACTTCTTTAGATTTAAAAAGAAAATTTTGTTGTTCCTTAATCTAAAAACTCTGTTTTTGTTACAGCTAGAGAGCGTAAGATTATACGTTGCGCTTCCTTTGGATACAGTTTCAGAAGCAACACCGTAAACCACACCAAAGCAATCGCCGCGGGACTTAAAGCTCTGAAGCTTCTTGGAGTAGAAGGTGTTGATCTGCCAATCTTCTGGGGAGTGGCTGAGACAGAATCCCCTGGAAATAACCAGTGGTCAGGTTACTTAGCCATCGCAGAGATGGTAAAAAAAACGGGTTTTAAGCTTCACGTATCTCTCTGTTTCCATGGCTCGAAACAGCCAGGATTATCTCTCCCTGACTGGGTGACTCGTATATGAGAAACCGAACCCGGGATCTATTTTACAGATCGGTCTGGGAGTCAGTACAAAGATTGTTTATCTTTTGCTGTTGATGATGTTCATGTTCTTGATGGTAAGACTCCTATGGAGGTTTGGGACCAGACGGTGAGCTGAGATATCCTTCTCATCAAACCAGGAAACTCTCTGATGGTGCAGGAGAGTTTCAGTGTTATGATAAGTACATGCTTGTCGCTCTCAAATACATGCTTTGGGGACTCAGCGGTCCGCACGATGCTCCTTCTTATGATCAACGGCCTAATTCAGCTCCATTCTTCTCGGATGGTGGATCATGGGAATCTGAATATGGTGATTTCTTCCTTGCTTGGTACTCATCTCTTCTCGTCTCCCACGCAGACCGAGTTCTTTCTCTTGCATCTTCTGTATTTAGCGGCACAGGATTGCCTCTATGCGGGAAGTTACCTCTCTTGCATCAATGGCACAAGCTACGTTCCAGGCCTTCCGAGTCAACAGCTGGATTTTACTGCAATGGAGACAATGATAGGTATGAGGCTGTTGCAGAGACCTTTGCAAAGAACTCTTGTAGAATGATACTGCCTGGGATGGATTTATCAGACGAGTATCAATCGCCGAAATCTCTCTCGAGCCCCGAGTCATTGCTTGCCCACATCAAGACTTGTTGCAAGAAACACGGAGTCGTCGTTTCAGGACAAAACTCATCCGAACCAAACCTTGGCGGGTTTGAGAAGATCAAAGAGAACCTAAAGGACGAGAATGCAGCGATAGATCTGTTCACGTACCAGAGAATGGGAGCACTTTTCTTTTCCCCAGATCATTTCCATGCCTTCACAGAGTTTGTCCGGAACCTTAGCCAGTTTAAGCAACCAGAAGATGATCTTTGACCAACAGAAGAAGAGGAGAATGCCGCAGCCAAGACGTTAAGCACAAGTATGCAAGCCACTTGAGTCTCTTGACTAACTGTATATAAAGAAAAACGAAAACCTTGCGCCTTCTTGTGAACTAAATCCTGTAGCAGAGTAAATTAATTTTGTTTGTAAATTTCAGAAAAGGAATGTACCCTTGGCCTATTTCTGGTAAGCTTCTTGGCATGAAAGACAAAAAAATACAACATATAGATTTGAATTGTCAGGAAGAATCCAGAGAAAGCTATTAACGTTCTTGAGATTTTGGACAAATATTTCACCATCTACAGACGACCACAACAAGTACATGGAGGTGATTTAAGGTTAGTCTCTTCATCATTCACATGCAATTCTGGTTTCAAAACTGCTCAGGCAGATCGCAAACGCTTGAAATGCAGAAATCGGATACCCATAATCCATGGTAAACATGTCCTTTCCAACTTTACCAAACTGAAGTATGATCCTCTCAGATGGCTGCCCTGTTTCACAGTCGCTGACTGCCACAAGCTGAAAGTTCTTAACAGAGGCCACTGTGACTCGACCATGGAAATTTAAGCACCAGCATCGTAGCTGCTCATGCCATCGTGGAGTCTTGTTGCTCAGCACCAATGGTGGGTCTCTCAGGTTGTTGCCTGAGTCGCTACAAGATGCACTATTGCTGCGCACCGGTTTTGAGTGAGACCTAAAGAACGGTGATGACTGAGTGGAAAAGGAGCGTATGGATGTTGAAGCTACTCCTTGGTACTCCACGACGCTCATAGGTATTGTGTCCATAGTGCAATGCATTCTTCTCGGTCCCCTGTTATTAATACCATCAAGAGATTGTTAAAATCAGAATGGTCAAAAGACTAGAAACATTATCTTTCTTGAATGTGAAAACTGTTTACCTAGAGCCTAAGACGTTTAACTCGTATGAAATATGTGCGATGGGGTAACTTCCCTGAGGAACTCTAGGAGAAACTTTGATGAAATTAGAAGAGCGGCTCTTCTGCATCTTCGCTGCTCCGGTCTGTGGCATCAGATTACCATCAAAGACCGTGAATTTTGTTCCGAGGAAGTTTGATCTTGCAAATAACAATAAGAGGTTTAATGAAATTATGTTTCGATTCAATACTTCACCATATCTCAATATATATAAATCTCATAATCTAATGCTCACAACATGACTATAACTCATAAAGCTAGAAACCAAGAACAATAACATTCAAGTAAAGTGTGCTAGATCATATCTGTAATGAATGTCAAAACAGATTAACCACTCAGTTTCCAAGTGTGTGCACATTCTTAAGGTAAATTTATATGCATACCTCATTCTCCCCAGATACGCGTTGTTTCTCTTGGAGATATCGTCTGAACGCAAAGAGATGATGTAATCAGTAAAAGTTGTGCGCTTCAGCTTAGAAGCAGCAAGAAGAAACTTCCCGTTATCCGTCAAAGCTGCCAGAAAATCAAACAAGAGACTTCTGTTAACAATTTCAGAACTCAGAAACAAGTAATCTCTTTCTTGATAAATCTGGAAGAAAAACAGAGATGGCTTACATGTAGTTAACCCGAGATAGAGATAATACGATTGAGTATTTCGATTACGTTTTATAAAGCATTGAACTAGAGAATCTCTTGGACCAGGCTGCATAGAATACATTCAAAACCACCAATCCTTCAGCTTACAAAGCCAAGAAACTGTTTGTTTATCTATCAATGATCAAAGAGACTAAAAGCTTTTGTTAAGCCAAAGAACACTTAAAACGTCAAATGAGATCATGTGGATCAATTCCTACACAGTACAAAATAAGAATCACAGTATAGTAGTCACTCTGCCATTGGGAGTAAACGCAAACGCCATTGCTGCTGAATTTCATATGTTATGGGATTAAATAAAGGAGCTAACTTTATGATTCAATTCTAGCACTTAATACTCAAAGATCAAATTTTACAGAGAACCTGCTTGAGGGAGCTAGGGAAAGTCAATTTAGAGGAGAATTGAGGAACAGCTACAATCTCCTTCGTGAGAATCCGCCAGCTACGACAAACGCCGGCGCAAGCCACCACGTTTCGCCGCGACGGCCAATCACCGCCGTCAACTGTCTCAACCCTAATCAGAATCTCTCTCAGCAGCTCCTCCGGGAGCTCCGACCAGCTGAAAGGGTCTGAACTATTAGCGGTTGAGGCGGCGTCGTGAACCACACGGTGTGGCCTAGACCGCATTTCCTGGATCAAACTTCGGATCGTCATGCGGTGAGATCTAAAGGGTTTAAGAGTTTATTGATGATGAAAACATGATCTGGGTTTGAGGAATTTTCACAGGAGAATTTATTTGGTGTGAAGAAGAAGAAGATAGGAGAAGTGGTGTTGTTGAGAGACGCGAAGAAGATTCGGACAATAATGGTGATTTTGAGGCGTTTTCTTTTTCTTCTTCTTCTAAACGCTTTTACCGCTTCTTAAAGAATTCGTATTTTGTCTTTAATTATTCTCTGATAGGATAAGGATGATACTTGAAAATAGAAATAAACGATGATAAAACCTGACGATTTTGGTAGGAGTTTGATAATATTAATTCACGTATTTTTCATATAAACTAAAGACTATATAAATCCTCTCTTTTTTCTCAAAAATCCATCTCATTCATTGCACGAATTTGTCAATAAAAATCAGAAAAATAGCTATACGTTTCGGTGAATAAATCTTGTTTGTTTCGCAGATAATGAATTACCAAAATATTTTAACCATTAATCACTAATTCAGAATTAAAAAATTGATGTGTAAAAGCTAAAATTTACTTTTGACCGGCCATAAAGTGGAAGTCATTAATGTGTCTTACACTATCATCATTCGTTACTTCTTCTACATACATTTGTAGAATTTCTCCTCGCTTTCTTAAGGAAACAAAACAGAGAAACAAAAACTAAAGAATCCAAGTAGCTAAACTATAGATCGTAGGTATAGATTCCAGATGCTTTTCTAAATAAACTTGGAAACTGTAACTATGATGCTGATATTCTTTTTCAAAAAAGAAAAAGAAATTATGATGCTGAAATGTTTCCAATTGTCAACATTTATTTATACATATATTATACTAGTATTACATATACACTGTATGTAACATATGTGGCGTCATAAAATTAAAGTAATTAGATAATAATGTAGATCGGAGACACGAAAAGCAGACCACGCGAGGCATTCAAAATGCCAAATTAAAGGGTCACATGTTTGACCCACTACTATAATTTAGTTGCTGTTAATGTTTCAATATCCATGGGATTGGTTCAATAACATTTGACCAACCACTTAAAGCCTCCCAATAGATTTGAAAACACTGTAGATTTTTATTTTTTTATGGACATGTTAACAACGTTCATAGAGATAGTAATACAATAAACTGAAAACGATAGCTTACCAAAAAAATCATAAAATTACATTGTTTTGTTTCGTCCATATTTTAGAACGGGCCTAAAATCTAATAATTTATACTAGTTCTGTTGCCGTGTACATGTTTTTCTACCCTTATCGGCATAATTGAACTTTTAGCCTTGAATTTTAAGTTTCTTGGCCTCCAAACAATTGAACTACCTATTTTTATTTTTCAAGATGGATTTTGATTTCTTATTTAATACAAATTTTGCATATCTAACAAAATAATGAAGATGAAAGGGAAATGTGAGAGGTTTTGAAGATGATAGGAATTTATACGATGAACAAAAAGATAAATCGAGACGTATAAGTATAATAATGATGAACCCTTAATCATGTTGACCCCCAAAATGGGTACACTAGAATTGGCTTTTGCCCTCTCTGTAAGTGCAAAGACAACAAAGAATAAGAACACAGAGAAAAAAAAAAAAAAACACCTGGGCGACTAGTATTATCTAATTATTCAATTACAAAAGCTATTTCCTTGTAATGATGAAGATGAATATGTATTCTTTTTACATCCAATATTTAATCAAGACCCAAACTTTCGTACAAAGATAAATTAGGACATTATAAAGAAAATAAGATTAATTAGTACATGTATATTACCAGGAAATTCTCTAATTAGTATTTTTTTTTTCACCAGAGATTCGTGGAAAACTTGTTAAAAATGACCAACTTATATTTTATCAAGTAAACGTCGAATGACATAAGAAATGCAACAACCCCATCACCATTAATATAATTCATATAACTATTTTGGGGTCAATTTATGAAACTGGTTATCATCATAAATGATTTAAAAGTAATTTGGTTTTGTTAAGGAAGTATTTGGCTATTATCATGTATCTCTACGGTGCCAAAAAAAGAATACAAACACTATTTTCACTTTATTCCTAAAAAGAGAATAATCCTAAGATTATTTACATTTGGTCACAAAGAAAAAAAAACAAAATCGTGTTCCCCTCTGTTGTTTTTGATATATCTTTTACACAACAACATGATAACCAATGAGCTAGTTCCACTCACGGTCGTAACAACGGTGTAACAAAATCATCTTGACCGTCCATTTGGAATAAAGTTCTTGAGATAGATAAATAGACGGTGGAGATTAGCTAACGTGAGATTTAAAAGCGTTGACCTCTCTCTCTTCCACTTGGCTTCTCTGCAAAAAAATCTTTATTTATATATTTACGCCATCTTTGGCGGTCTCTCTCGTCTTCTTCGTCTTCGATCGTCTCTTTGCTGTCCATTATACGAACTGTGATATCTCTCTCTACGACCAAATATAATCATTCGATCTTTCGAAACTCGTCATAACTCTTGCCAGGTATATATGTTTGAATGCTTTATTGAGTGTTTTTTTTCTTTTTCTTTTGTGGATGCTTTTAAGATCCATTTACTGTTCATGGAGGCGTGAAATTGATCTCTTGTTGATGAAGATAGATAAAATAGATGTTTAGTGATACAATTCTAAAGGATTTTTCAAATGTATTCGAAATTTTTAGTCAATTTATTGGAATTTTCCAGGGTTTTTGGAATGTCTTCTTTATTATTTTCTTTTTCTGAATATTTTTCGTGTTTTGAATTTTTCCTGGCGGCTAAAGAGGGAAACTATACCATTTTAGGTACTTTCAATCAGAAATCTAAATTCCACAAATCACGCGTCGTGTGTTTGTTTAGGAGATATATTCTTAGAGCAGAGATTCGGCGATGGTGATCGGATTAACCACAATGCTGGAGAAATCAGAGGCTCTTTTCGCTTCAGATCATGCATCGGTCGTCTCCATGAACTTATTCGTTGCTCTGCTTTGTGCTTGCATCGTGCTTGGTCACTTGCTCGAGGAGACTCGGTGGATGAACGAGTCAATCACTGCTCTTATCATCGTAATTAGCTTCTTCTTTCTTTTCCCCCAAAAACTTTGCTTAGAAACAATTCTAAACTTGAATATCGCAAAATAGGGTTCATGTACTGGGATTGTGATCTTGCTTATAAGTGGAGGCAAAAGCTCAAGGATTCTTGTGTTTAGTGAAGATCTCTTCTTCATTTATCTTCTTCCACCGATTATATTCAACGCAGGGTAAACTTTTTCTTATATAGAATTTCGTGAAAACCGGTTATCGAAAGTCAGAACATTACATTTTTTTTATTTTTTTTTTCAGATTTCAGGTTAAGAAGAAGCAATTTTTTCGCAACTTCATGACCATTATGTTATTTGGTGCTGTTGGTACTCTCATTTCATTTGTTATCATATCATTAGGTAAAAAAACGTCTCATTCAATTCCTAAATTTCTATCATCAGTCTCATATATTTTGGTGATATATATTTCCGGATTTGTTTTTGTTTTGGCTAGGTGCTAAACATTTTTTCAAGAAAATGAATATCGGTGATCTTACCATTTCGGATTATCTAGGTACCCTGAAACAAATAAAACCCAAAACTCTTTTCAAGTTCTTGTTCAGTAAGTGTCATACCGTTTAATCTGTTTTGATTTGTAGCCATTGGAGCAATATTCTCTGCTACAGACTCTGTTTGCACCTTGCAAGTAAGAATTTTCTTATGCAACGAACATTGACAAAATTGTATTCTACTACATTTGCTAATCAAGAATCAACTTGCACTCATTTTAAATTTAGGTGCTTAATCAAGACGAGACACCTCTCTTGTACAGTCTTGTCTTTGGAGAAGGTGTAGTGAACGATGCCACATCGGTTGTTCTCTTCAACGCGATACAGAGATTTGACCTCACACACATCAATTCAGCCATAGCTTTGGAGTTTGCTGGAAACTTCTTTTATCTCTTCATCTTAAGCACAGCACTTGGTGTTGCAGTAAGCTTCTTCTCTCTCTCTGCTCCTCAAATTCCAGGAATAAACCGGAAAAATTTCTCACTCGTTTTCTTTCAGGCTGGATTGCTCAGTGCTTTTGTTATCAAGAAGCTCTATATCGGAAGGTATATGCGTGTGTTTATCGATAGTTAAAAACGGGATTATACTCTTTGTTAGTTGTTTCTTTAATCTTTTTATTTATTTTATTTTTGTAACATCAGGCACTCTACTGATCGTGAAGTTGCACTTATGATGCTATTGGCTTACTTATCATATATGTTGGCAGAGGTACTAAGAAATTTTTTGAAACGTTTTGGTTACATTTTTACCAGCAGAAAATGAAAACATGATACCTTAATTTGCCCTTTGCAGCTGTTCCACTTGAGCTCTATCTTGACTGTGTTCTTCTGTGGTATTGTTATGTCTCACTACACATGGCACAATGTTACAGATAAATCAAAGGTCACTACAAAGTAAGTTTCTTTCTTCTCCCAATAATTAGAAAATAACTCTACTAATTTGTTGATTTAGATTGACTAAAACGTATATGTTTTCTTGGCGTAGACATACTTTTGCTGCATTGTCATTTCTAGCTGAGATTTTTATCTTCCTTTACGTTGGAATGGACGCTCTCGATATCGAGAAATGGGACGTTGTACGCAGCAGGTGATAATTGTAGTGTGATAAAACATCAATGAAAATACAATTTTACTGGTTTCGATTTCATGATCTTGTTTTAACACTTGGGCAGTCCTGGTCAGTCGATTGGTGTGAGTTCAATACTTCTCGGGCTTATTCTTGTGGGTCGCGCCGCCTTCGTGTTCCCACTTTCCTTCCTGTCCAATTTAACAAAGTCTTCACTGGATGAGAAAATAGATTGGAAAAAACAAGTAACCATTTGGTGGGCTGGTCTGATGCGTGGTGCAGTGTCAATGGCTCTTGCTTATAACCAGGTTTTGATCCGTGAACTACAAGAAACAAAGATAATAAATGATTATATATATAAACAATCTTTGGATTTTGATAACTTCTCACAAATCTTTTTCTCTCTGTTACATCATAGTTCACAACTTCAGGACACACCAAGGTTCTTGGAAACGCTATCATGATCACCAGCACCATCACTGTTGTTCTTTTCAGCACTGTGGTACGTTTTAACGCTTTGCTCAAACCGGTTTGTATCCTCGTGAAGTCAAATCGGGTTTAGCCCACCAAACACCAACGAGAAAATAAACCGATTCGGTTCCTTATCCTAATCTCTTACCTTTTATCTGTAGGTGTTTGGATTGCTAACCAAACCGTTAGTCAAACACTTGCAGCCTTCATCAAAACGATCTTCCACGACCGCGCTGCAGATCACCACAGGATCTTCTTTCCACGATCCGCTCCTCACAAACAATGAGCCGTTGCTCAGTACCCAAGGCCCGTCAGAATACAACATAGAACAGCCGGTTAGCTTTAGAATGTTCTGGAACTCTCCGTCCCGAGCCATTCATCATTACTGGAGGAAATTTGATAACGCAGTTATGCGTCGCATATTTGGCGGCCGAGGCGTTTCACCAGTAGTTCCAGGATCACCCATTGATACTAGTGTTCGGCAGTGGAGTGAAGAAGTTGAAAACAAGGAACAAAACGGCGAACCTTGATGACCATTATGACATATCTTTGACTTGTTAATCGCGTTTTTGCCTCCAGTTTTGGTATAATGGGTTTTTTTTAGATATATGGGAGCATTTTTGTATGTGAATTCTTTTTTGTCCGGTTTGATTTTTGGTTTGTGGTGTGATTTTGTAAAGCCGGTCCATTTTTTCCGTGGTTTGGGTTTTGGTTTCGTTGTAAAATTGTAATTGTCCATGTAAATAGAGACTGATACAGGGGTGACTTGTGAGAATGACTTGAGTACACGTCGATGCCGACGTTAGCGTCTGCGTTTGGAGATACGCGTTTGCGTTGGGGGACGTGAGCAGATTGTTTTCTTTGAAGTTTGTGTACACTATCTTGTACTACTTATACAAAACAAAGGGATACGAATCTTTCTAATGTTCACAATTTATTACTGGGGTTTGCTAGAAACTTGTTGACGATATATAAATCAATTGATATGTTATATATAATTAACTTTTGAGAAATCTAATCTTAATTTTATGCTTGCTCGTTAATTTTATCATGTTCCCACTTCCCACTATATAAGGACAAAGTGAGTGGGTATCAATCAACCTTATAGTAAGATATAACAACATGTCACGCATAAAACCCTATGATGTGAAAACAAAGAAACGTCCTTTATATATTTCTTTTCACCTATATATAAATTTAATATTGAGACTTTGAAATTCCAGAACCTATATAAAGTGTGGGACAAGAAAAGAAGGCACCTTTTTTTGTTTTTGCTTTTAGCCGTGAGGCAGCATATGCAGTAACTCACATGCATGCGCCTCTACCTTATGGCATTTTAGGAATTATGCAATAATGCACTATACTTAAACACGTTAATTCACAAAATAATACATTCCTTCAATTCATAAACACGTCTCAATATTGAGACCAAATAATAATAAGAAACTCGTGTTTTACATAAACTTATGTTGAAATTGATTAGTAGTCTATAACTCAAGTGTTATTTGCATATAAACGTACATTACAACTATAAACGTTTGATATATACTACTAAAAACAGTATATTGTAAAGCATATGCCACTTTAATTGAAACGTGATTTCAACTTTTTTTAAAGGTTCTTTAGCTAGCGAAGAAAAAATAAAGGTAAGTGTATAGTAAACTGACAAATGAAGTAAAAGTACGAAAAGTAGAAGTCCTCAAAGTGTATTGAATCACTTAAGGGTAGGTTAGATATTTTATCCAGAGTTCCTAAGTTAATTATGCATCAATTATGTGATTCTGACGTAATATATTACTTGCGTAATTCATCTTAACCAATCTAACATTGTAACAAAATATTAAATGAAGAACAAAAAAATACAAATAGTAAATTAAAAAGATTGAAAATGAAATGTTTTAAACTAAAACTAAATTGGTTTATTCGAGATACGAAATTAGTTTTTGCTCATGAAAATAATGACGTACGTGGTCTAAAATATGAATGACCTATATAGGTGAAACGGCAAGAAGCCGGAGCGAGAAACAAGAGACGGCGGCGACGACAAAGTAGACGAAAACTCCGGGAGCTTGAGAAGACAGAGTAGCAAGAGATGAAGCCGGAGGAGAAGCGGAGGGAGCGAAGGCGGGATCAGGATCTGCAAAAACGTCGTCGTTTTCTGGTTTGGGAAGTGTTGAAGAAGAAGGGATGGTTTGAGTACTGGAGGAGACGGCGGGTGAAGGGAGGAGAGGAGCGATCTCCGGCGAGATCTGTTCTTCAAAGGGAGAGATTGTTGGGGAAGATGAGATTGTGTTTGTCGTCGGCGAAGAGAGAGAAAGTGAGGAGAGAAAGATGAAGGTGATGAGTGTTAGCAATGAAGCCATCTTTTTGGTTACTGTAATGATGATCAAATCAAAGGTTGAATTTTTTTTTTTTTCCCTCTACTGATCAAAGAGCGTTTTGTGTTGTAATGATACTGTCTCTATAAAAGAAACTTTTAGCTCTAATAGTAAAAATATTATAATTATTTAAATGAAATTTGTCTCACCTTTTCTAAAAAGTTATTATTATTTTTAATTGAAAGGATGTGTTCGGTGGAAAGGAAATGTTTTTTTATTGAAAACTTGAAATCTTGAAAAGGCCGTAGATCGAGTTTTCCTTTTTGTTGTTGTTTATTTTACTTTTAAATAGAATCATATCTCAATATTCAGTTTCGAATAAATGCTTTACATAATTTCGAAATGCAAAAAAAAAAAAAACGAAATGCAAATGAAATAGGCGATTTCTTAAGAATTTTGAATTTGTTTGAGACTCGGTAATAGAATAAGAACACCAACTTTCTTTTGTTATACTTATATGTGTCATCCTTGATAAGATCACAGGGGATTCATTTAAGGGAGAATTGCGAAACAAAAATCTAACTAAACCAAATTATAAATCGTTTTTCTAAGTACGAGTGAGTGAATTTGTTGTTGGATGTTCAAAGGAAAAAAAAAATGACACTTTATATTTTGTTGTCTTTTGTACTAAAGTTTGTTGGCGAGTTAAAAAAGGCTTTGTGGTGTGGGAATTTTCTTTGCGGTTGCTGGTTTTCATGATATATCTTTTTGAATGTGAGTTTGCTTAAAGGTTTTGTTTACTTTTTATATAGTGGTTTGATCAAACTTTTCGAAAATACTAAGACTGAACCTGAATCCAATCAAATTTTAAGAGAGAAAAAATGACCCAAATTTAAATTTGCGAGGACTACAGTTATATATGACTAAAACAGAATTTGTATCGAAATCATAAACCAACATATCAAATGGTTTCACTATGACTACTAATCATCAAAAAGTCGAAAAACCGAACCAAAGTACATATAAAGACTCTGAATCGTTAATTTACGAAAAGGTCTTTGTAAATCAAGAATGCAAGTTAGTGGAACCTCATGGACCCAAGGAAAAGCAGTCTACTGGTGTTAATGCATATGATCATTGTTGTGATAGAGTGTAGTCTAAGCTTTTATTTCTGATTTGAATTGTTTTCTTTAGTTTAAGATTTACTAACGCAGTCAATTCTATCAGGTTTCCGACCATAGTTAATATTTTTCTCAGAACTATGAATTATCCAAACAATCGATTACATATAATTTAGAAAATGTGATGCAATTGAAGCTGACTAAACATGCTTCATATGGGCCTAAAAAACGCAGCCCACTAGTGTAGTGCTAAACGAACTGAGTTTTCTATCCCAACAACGGCAAGAAATTACTATTTGTTTGACTTTTTTTTTTTTTTTTTTTTTTTTGACATTGCACACACTATTTTTTTTTGTGACATTTGATCTGATATATAATTCTAAACTTCTGGTTTACAAAAAAAAAAAATAATAATTCTAAACTTCTGATTACAGATTTCGAATTTCATCTTGAAGTTTTTTTTATCAAAAAGAAATAAATTATTGAAGAAATAAATTTCGTTTATGTCAATTAGAAAATGAAAAAAAAAAAAAATTGCGCCTAATGTCCAAAGCCACCTACCACTTTTTTTAGCATATAAAAACGTTAAAAATTACCAAAATTTAGAAATGTAATCAATTTTGCAAAAGTGTGAGAAAAAGCCGCAAAGGGTCTCAATGGCAGCTTCTTCAACTAATGCTCGTCTCACCAACCCTCCTCACGTACTATCCAAACCACGACTCTCACCAACCTCCGTCGTGAATCTCCGTTTTCCAGCCGCCGATTTCCCTATCCGCTTATCTGCCGGTTCTTCGTCCCCGCAACTAAGGAGTGTGCCGTTTCCGGTGGTATTTTCCGATCGAAGCCGTCGGCGAACCATGGAACATAGCAATGTCTATGTTAGTGAATCTTCCTTTAATTTGGCATTTGTTTGTTCTGAATTTTGGATAAAGACTTTGATGTTTCGTGTACGACATTGGTTTAGCTATTTAGAATCAATCTTCAGAATTTTTGTTCAGTTCTGACTAGTAGTTGGATTGTGGATTTTTATCCTGGTTGGTGATCTCAGGTGGCTTCAAATTCAACGGATATGGAGATCGGAAGTCAAGATATTGTGAAGAATCCGAGCTTGATCTGTGCTCCAGTGATGGCGGATTCAATCGACAAGATGGTGATTGAAACGTTTAAAGCCCATGAATTGGGTGCAGACTTGGTTGAAATTCGATTAGATTGGCTTAAGGATTTCAACCCTATTGAGGATCTCAAAACCATTATTAAGAAATCTCCTCTGCCCACTCTCTTCACCTACAGGTTTGGTGTTCAAGCTTGCCTTCAATTACTAGTTACGAGCTACTTCTTGTGTGCTGCGGTATGAGTAATGTTATTGTTTGTTTGCTGTCTTCTCTCTAGACCAAAATGGGAAGGTGGTCAATATGAAGGTGATGAAAACGAAAGACAGGATGTGCTTCGTCTGGCCATGGAGTTGGGAGCTGATTACGTTGATGTTGAACTTCAGGTGACCATCGTAATAAATGAAGAGTTTTGGTATTCAGAAGGTCTTTTGATGCTAATTAGTTTCTCCTACTTCATATTTGTATGTTAAGGTTGCAAGTGACTTCATCAAATCTATTGACGGAAAGAAGCCTGAAAGTTTCAGAGTAATTGTTTCATCGCACAACTATCAGAATACTCCTTCTGTTGAGGATCTTAATGACCTTGTTGCAAGAATACAACAGACTGGAGCCGACATAGTGAAGATTGCTACTACTGCTGTGGACATTGCAGATGTTGCTCGCATGTTCCATATAACCTCAAGTGCTCAAGTAAGTGCGTACTACATGAAGTTGAATCTATTGTTTCCTGATCTCTGATTGTGATTTCATCTTGTCATTGTCTGAACTTTTCACTCAAATTTCAGGGTCCCACAATTGGACTTGTGATGGGCGAGCGAGGTCTAATGTCTCGGATTCTTTGTTCGAAATTTGGTGGTTATTTGACCTTCGGCACCTTAGATTCTAGTAAAGTTTCTGCGCCAGGTCAACCAACGATCAAGGATCTGTTAGATCTTTACAACTTTAGAAGAATTGGTCCTGACACAAAGGTGTATGGAATTATTGGCAAGCCTGTTAGTCACAGCAAATCACCTATTGTTCACAATCAAGCTTTCAAATCAGTTGATTTTAAGGGAGTATATGTCCACCTATTAGTTGATAATCTTGCAAGCTTTCTTCAAGCATACTCATCCTCTGATTTCGCTGGATTCAGGTATGCTATCACGCTGACAAACATGTTTTTCTCCAGAGTAATGAACAGAATCGTCCAGATTTTACTTGTTTACGAGTTAAGGTTCACTGCGCATAGAAGAATTTTTGGGTGAATGATGTAAATCTGTTTTACTTGCAGCTGTACAATTCCTCACAAAGAAGCTGCATTGCAATGTTGTGATGAGGTTGATCCATTGGCAAAGGTATGATTTGCTGATGAACAGCACATAATATTGATAGTAACCCCAATCACTGACACTATAACATAGAATAAATCGCCATCATTCGTCACCCTGAATGTTTACTTCAATATCATACAGTCTATAGGAGCTGTGAACACTATACTAAGGAGAAAAAGCGACGGAAAGTTGTTGGGTTATAACACAGATTGTATTGGTTCCATATCTGCTATTGAGGATGGCCTACGAAGTAAGTTCTATGTTCACAGCTTTCATCCGTTTTTGCTCCTTGTGGAGAAGTTTCGGATATGTCACAGAGCCTTTTCCTTTGCTTCTTTTTTCAGGATCAGGTGATCCAAGCAGTGGACCTTCTTCTTCTTCGCCATTAGCCGGTAAAACAGTGGTGGTTATTGGTGCTGGTGGAGCTGGCAAGGCACTTGCTTATGGTGCAAAAGAAAAGGGGGCCAAAGTTGTAATTGCTAATAGAACTTACGGTAAAATTCATGCCCTAAAGTTGGTACTCTTCATCTCTGTTTGGTTGCCATGTCGGCGGTAGTAACTGACGATATGATTTGTTTTGTTCCTGATGTTGTGTTTCGAAAAGAACGAGCACTAGAACTCGCAGAAGCAATCGGAGGGAGAGCGTTATCTCTCACAGATTTAGATAACTTTCACCCAGAAGATGGCATGGTTTTGGCCAACACCACATCTATGGGTATGCAACCAAATGTTGACGAGACTCCAATTTCTAAGGTAAGCTCTATTTGTAACAACTCTTCCTAGGTAATGAAGGCACTGTTCTATCGTTTTCTGTTATTGAAAAAGAAAAGCCTGCTTATTGCAAGCAAACTTGGTTGAAATTTTAAAATCTATAAGACAAATTAGTAAGCTATCTTGTCTTTGTTTCCCCCAGCATGCATTGAAGCACTACGCACTGGTCTTTGATGCGGTCTACACTCCGAGAATCACCCGACTGTTGAGGGAAGCAGAAGAAAGTGGAGCCATAACTGTGTCAGGCTCAGAGATGTTTGTCAGGCAAGCTTATGAGCAGTTTGAGATTTTCACCGGTTTACCCGGTAAGTGAGACTTATACCAAACAAAACCCATGTTCCATTAAAATTGAAACAAAAGAAGCTGACTTAATGTTCCGTTGTTGTGCAGCTCCAAAGGAACTCTACTGGCAAATAATGTCAAAGTACTGAGACATAGCTTAAGTGTGTGTGTGTGTGTGTATGTCCTACTTCCATGAAAAGTCAGATTCAATAAAGCTGATTCTCTCTCTTTGTATTTATATAGTATATACAAAAACTATTAAGCCTTAAGTTTATTCATTCGATTTTATGAATCTATATGAACAACACCAACTTTGAATTGGTAAAACTTGATTTGATAACACTCAAAATTGATATTTTGGAAAACTGGTATTTATTTTTTCTTTCCCGGTTTTTGTCTGAGAAACAAACAACAGAAAACGCTTCGGATTTCGAGATTTTAATATCGCATGATCGAATTGTTTCCCGCCAAAGAAAAGTTGGCAAATAGAGGAATTACAATTTAACCCGCGAAATTGAAAATGGATTACAAAAGGTAGTCTTCTTGGTTCAGGTTCTATTTTCTTTTCTCGGGAGCTCACATTTCTCTCCACCGCCTCCTCGTCTTCTCACCAAAGTAAGCCTGCCTCTCTGTTTATGGAGTATTTTTTTTCTTTCTTTCTTTCGGTTTCGTTATTGATTGATTCGAAATCTCAACCAACAAAGAATAGATCTGATTCTCACCGTAGCGTTTATTGCTCTCTCTCACATGGGCTTCGATTCTTTGTTCTTCACTTTCAATTTGCAAATTTTCAGATTTTGTTTTCGTTTAGACTAAAATTGAAGGGTTGTTATGCAATTACTTTAAAATACGTCATCTTTTCTAATCAACCCCAAAGTTAATCAAATTTACTTAAAAGCCTAAAAAAAAAAAAAGAGTTAGATGGCTTTTAAGTTTCACATCACAGACGTCGTGAACTTTATATAGTCACATCACAGACGTCGTGAACTTTATATAGTCGGACTCCTTGTCTCTCCGCCGTTCGGGTTAATTCCCTCCGGTGAGTTTCTCTAATTTCTCTCACTCTCCATTGAGTTACCTCCAAATTCATTATTCGTCAGATCGTATAAAGCTTTTAAATTTAAATTAGAGAATCCTCCTCCTCCTCCTCTGTTTCATCCGCTCCACGATTCTCCGCCGGAATTCTTTTCGAATTTTGATTCTCCGATGAGTTCTTGAACTGATTTGTTTTGTTGGGCTCCTTAATTTCTGTTTTCATTCTCCTTTGCTTTAATTACATCTGACTTAAATGGTATTTGCAGAGGACGTAGACACATTTCTAGGGTTTTTGGGTTTCGAGAAATTTTCAATTTTTGTTTTTGTTTTCTCAATCCTGGAATGTCACGAAAGGTTATACCTTTTAACCTGGGTATGTGGTTTTTTTCTATAATTCTACATGTAGACTACATGTATACAAGTGGTATCATATTTTGCCTTAGCAATTATCTACAGTTTTGAGTTTGTAGCACAGTCATCTAATTGACAGAAGTTTTATGTCTTTTTGTTGCTGGATCAGAGCAGAGGTGGGATTGGACAAGGTCATTTATACTACTTTCTCGGGTTGGGGTTTCTATGATACTTGTGCTGGATTGATAATGAGTATCAACAGAGATGAGGCTCTTAGAGCCAAAGATCTAGCGGAGGGTTTGATGAAAAAGACTGACTTTACTGCTGCTCGTAAGCTTGCATTGAAGGCTCAAAAAATGGATTCCAGCCTGGAGAACATATCTCGTATGATAATGGTGTGTGATGTTCACTGTGCTGCAACAGAGAAGCTGTTCGGAACTGAGATGGATTGGTACGGTATACTTCAGGTTGAGCAGATCGCTAATGATATTCTCATCAAGAAACAGTACAAGAGGCTTGCGCTTCTTCTCCACCCTGATAAAAATAAGCTTCCGGGTGCTGAAGCTGCTTTTAAATTGATTGGTGAAGCCCAGAGGATTCTTTTGGACAAAGAGAAAAGGATGCTTCATGACATTAAACGCAAAAGTTTGAGAATGCCTGCACCTGCACCGCCATATAAAACCCAACAGATGCCGAATTATCACACACAACCTGTTTTTCGGGCAAGCGTCAGTACGAGGAACATCTTCACTGAATTGAGACCTGAAAACAGGCATCCTTTCCAGAAAGCTCAAGCCCAACCAGCTGCTTTCAGTCACCCTACAACCTTTTGGACCACTTGTCCATTCTGCCAGACGAGGTATGAATATCAACGGGCACATGTCAACAAGGAAGTCACTTGTCGCCCTTGTATTAAATGGTTCACTGCTTTTGAAGAACCTTTGCAGAGTGCACCACCGGCGAAAGGGCCATGTCAGACTACTTATTCCTTCCCACAACAGAGCAAATTTTCAGACCAAAGGGCTTGCAGTGAACCACACAAGCGTTCAGAGAATCTTCCTACTGTCTCCTCTAGCAAGGCGAGTTTCCCTATGCCGGGTTCTACTGCAAAAATCAATGGGAAGAGGAAGAGAAAGAATATGGTTGAATGTAGTGAAAGCAGCTCTGACAGTGAAAGTAGCAGTGAGTCAGAAGATGTGACTATGGCAGCACAAGATTTGGGGGCCAATGGAGGAGAGCAACCTCGGAGGTCAGTCCGTAGCAAGCAGAAGGTTTCCTATAATGAGAATTTGAGCGATGATGATGTAGACTTAGTCAACCACAATGGGAAAGGGTCCGGAAAAAACATAGATACTGAAAGGGAAGAAGAGACAAAGGAGGAAAAGCAGAAAAATGAGGATCATAGCTCTACTGAAAGCGTAGACATGAAGGGGAAGATAAAAGTTGACCAGGTGGTAACCCCTTCTGGTGCGAGTGATTCAGAGGAAGATTTAAGTTCAGGGAGTGCAGAAAAACCAAATTTGATCAACTATGATGATCCTGATTTCAACGAGTTCGATAAGTTGAGGGAAAAAAGCTGTTTTCAAGCTGGCCAGATCTGGGCTGTGTATGATGAAGAAGAGGGGATGCCTAGATTTTATGCTCTCATAAGAAAAGTGACAACTCCGGATTTCATGCTTAAGTACGTATGGTTAGAGGTAGATCAAGATCAAGAGAATGAAACACCAAAGTTGCCCGTCTCTGTTGGTAAGTTTAAAGTTGGGAATATGGAGGAGACGAATGAGTGTTCCATTTTCTCTCGTTTGGTCTACAGCACAACAAGAATCAGGGGTCGCAAGTTTACGGTATTCCCAAAGAAAGGAGAAACATGGGCCCTTTTCAAGAACTGGGACATCAACAGCTCCGCTGACTCAGTTTCTCCTATTAAGTACGAGTATGAATTTGTTGAGATCCTGTCTGATCATGCAGAGGGAGCCACGGTGTCAGTTGGGTTCTTGTCTAAAGTGAAAGGCTTTAATTGTGTTTTCTGTCCGATGCCGAAGGATGAGTCAGACACTTGTGAGATTCCACCTCATGAATTCTGTAGATTCTCACATAGCATTCCGTCATTCAGATTAACAGGAACAGAAGGAAGAGGCGTAACCAAGGGTTGGTATGAGCTTGACCCAGCTGCTTTACCAGTCTCCGTCTCTCAAAATCTATCAGGAGATGAAGCAGCTCAAGACCGAGACCATCAATGTCCACCTTCAGGATTTGCCTCTTGATATTATCTCAGTCAGAGGCTCTGTTGTGTCCATGACTTGCTCAAATCAAAGTTCTTGGAGCTCGTTTATTTTGTTCAAGCGTACAGGTTTACAGACAAGAGAAACCAAAGCTCCTCAGAGGCTTCGTTAAGCTCGATCCCTCTCTGTTGTCTTGTGACATACTCGAGTCATGATACTGGTTGGATTTTTTTTTGTTATATGTCTTCTAGCTCTTGCGTTTCTTTTCTTTTTAGGTTCACTCAGACTTGAAACTTAACCAGTATTTGTCTCAATACTTCATTGTTGCTAGAGTAAGAAACTGTTGAATGAAGTGGTGAAAACCCTTTTTGGCCATGTTGTGCTTGTACCATCCATTTTTCACTTGTAAAATAGCATGAGTGTCGATTTCTGTTTAGGCTCAGGTCACTAAAGTAAGAAATGGACTTCTTGGTGTTTTTGCGACATACATGAAAGTGTGTATCTAATTCTAATTTAGTTATTCTTTATGATCAAACATGAGGGCATTTGGTCTAGTGGTATGATTCTCGCTTTGGGTGCGAGAGGTCCCGAGTTCGATTCTCGGAATGCCCCATTTTAACTGACTTTATCTTGTTTTTAATTTCCAATCTCACCCAGTAACACCAAGTGCAACTGCCGTTGTAAAAGTGTGTAAAACCTATGTAGTTGATGAAAACAAAACGGAAAGTAGATTACATACATTACTACACAATGTCTTCTCTTCTCTTTCACAAATCATCATCGTGCTCGGGAAAAAACACGTGAAGTAGGGATACAAATAGAAACTTCAGTAACATGTTCGAAGAAAAGTGTGTACATATTTACATTTTACAGGTAACTGCTGGATCTGATGAATCTCTTCACTAACAACTTCTTCTTCCATAATACAAACTCAAAGGAAGAACAGAGAAACCAAGGAAAACAGATTTCATACAGGACTTGAATTTTCTGCAATGCGTACACGCCAAGCGAAATAATGAAGGTACAACGAGTTTAGGCACACGGCTATCCCAAAACCAAGAATCCCTGCAAAAAGTATAGAATAGGTCGCCGATAGTCTAACCTGAAATAGAGAGTTTGGGAAAATATATTGATTTCCATTTATCAGTAATGAAATGGGGAAACCCAACAAGTGAGAGAGTATCGCTCTTACTGTAGCATATAATATATGAACCAACATGCCCACAAGCGCAAACTCGAGTGCTGCGTATGTCCATATGTATTCTCTGATAGCTGCAGAGTCAGATTTTAGCGCAAAAAGTTTTAAAATTTTGTTGATAATCAAAGGAAAGAGATAGACTAAGTGGTTTTGTGTACCGAGGACAATGGCAAAAATGGATGCTAAGAGGCCTAACGTAAGTGAAAATGGCGCCGCGATGTAAATAGCTTGCTTGTTCAAGTCACGAATCTACAAAAAAAAAACACATTTGTCAATGCCTTTTGCAACAAAGTATCAATCAAAACACATATTTTGTATCAGTGGCTACCAGTAATTGCTCGAGGAAGAAGAAGTAGCAGACTGTGCTGATTAGAACTAGCACCACAAACTCTTGCCAAGCACTGCACCAAACCATTCAGTGATTAGTTGTTTTATTTCCACAAATGGTGAAAGAAAGCAGAATTTTGAAATTACCTTACGGTTTGTGACGGCATATTTGGTTGACTGCGATCACGTCTGTTGTTTGGTTGATTACTTGTGGGCACACGAACCAATGTAACTGGTAAGTTCTTTACTTCTTGTCTACAGACGTCACAGGTTCTTGTTCCCTTTGTACTAAACCATTTCATGGCACACGCTTCATGAACAAGTCTGAGATCACCTTTGCAGCTGCACTCCATTTTCAAAGTATTGCCCTCTTCGCACACATCCAGACAGATCCTGCACACGGCTTCTTCTTCGGGAATTTCTTCATCAGTTTCTTCAGGAGGAACGGAAGAGATTTGATATGCTAAAGAAGGAGGAACCAGCAAACACAAGAGAGAAAGGAAACACAGATCACAAATCAGTATGCTACATGAAACAAATTCTAATTGCATTCAATTCTCAAAAAATATAAAAGTGTTGAAATCAACCATATGAATATGCAAATCCTTAATAGAAGTTGATATTCCCTACACTAAAAAGTAAAAACACTGCACATGAACCTCAAGTCTTCGCACAAGTCTGTATCTTTTGATTCAAGAAGAACTAACATAGCATGCTCCAGTGACTGCCTAAACTAAACTTTGAAACGATAACAAGGGAAAAACTTTGATACTAACATGTATGATGTACCTGCACTTGTTTCACTGGAAACACGGGCTTTGTGGTTGTCAAAAGATATGGATCGCACAATCACTTTGTTTCTTCCGGGCATGGACAAGGACCTTGGATAATCTTTCTGCAACAAAATAAAATCTTTACTTCTATATTTATTTGCAGCTATATATTGAGCAAGGAAGGAGTATATTGTAAGATAGCGATAACTCACATTACGCGGCTCACCAGGCACCCCAGCTGAAACTTGTGTAGATACAACCGGAGACAATTTTGCAGCATGTCTATTAGGAAGCGATAAGCATCTTTTCCAATAAGGCGAAGCTGTGGAACCAGCAGCATTAGGCTTTTTAGCGGTTTCCATGAGACCGGGAGATAGTAGGGAGCTTCTCTCGCTTTCGGGTTGAGAAATAACTTTCTTTTTCAAGCTTAAATTGCGCAAGATTCCTCTTGGTGAGGATGTACTGCCACTTTTGAATGAACTAGTGGACTTCAATGAACTCTTTGGGTTACGACCGTTACCGAATGGAATTGGTCTGAGAGGTATTTGTATTGAAAGATCCAAGTGGGTTTCGATAGATTGAGAGCTCGGCACATCTTCAGTAGATTTTTCTTTTACCTGATGATCAACCTATAAGTAATACATGTTGAAGTTGAGGCCAAAAAAGGAAAAAATGCTTAAACCATTTAAAGGACAAATCCAGCTTTATATTTGCTAAGCTAATCCTTGAGAGGAAAACATAATTCTATGTATAAATAAAACAATCCCAAGTGGCTTAGTTTGTTCTCTTAATAAAAAAAAAAGCACATAATAAAATGAAAAGCAGAGTCTATGGCTACTAAGTGATTCAGGTTTGATCAAAATCCAGATTATATATGAACAAAGGAAGAGAAAAGAGCCAAAAGATAACGTATATCAATATAAAGGCCTAGACTTTCACAGGTAATTTCATGGATAATCAAACCTTATATCAATTATTGAAAAGAAGAAAAAACCCAGATTCTTCAGATACCCATGTTGTAATTTAGAGATTAGACACAGGTAATTAATTAATCAGGAAAAGATTTCATATTTACCTGGTAATCTATCAACAAACCCAGAAAGAAAAAGCGAATTAGGAGGAGACAAAAAGGTCAGATTTTGGAATTTATGAATGTACCTGAGAAGAAGAAGAAGAAGAATCTCCCACGATTATAGCAATTTCCGGTTGTTGAGCTGCCGAATCTTGCATCTTCATCTAACCAAATCAAACCAGATTATAATATAAAACTATGTATCAATATGAAATCAAATCCGCTCGACAAAAATTCTGAGAGAGAAAGAAGCAAATCTATAATACAAGTATGCAGAAATAATTGTGGTTTCTTTTTTTTAATCATTAAGTTTAAGCTGACTCCACGACTGACAATGACATTGTTACTTTTTTTATCCACTTATTTAAATAAAATACGTACGTTGTCACTCCACTCATTTATTATTAGTTATTACTCTTCTTTACTTTGTCTTCATTCATTTATTTAATAATGTTCTTTGATTTCCCATAATCCAATTTATTTGTATAAAAATCGACAAAGAAAAATTCGAATCATATTCTTGTCGTTGATTCTCGACGATCATGTGATGACGATGAAAATTCAACGTTACGAGTTTCGACCCCTCATGTTCTTGTCGCGATTGCCGTCACTTTCTTGGAAATTAATCATTCTTCTCCCTTAGTTCTTACGCATTGAATTAAGTTTTTTTCCCTACGTGATTTTGGTAATTTTTATGTATTAAGTTTTACCACAAAAAAAAAAAAAAAGGATTTTATAGGAAGTGCACCTTTCTTAAAATACCTAAAAGCAAGAAGAAAAGCTACTTTGAAAGGGAAAAACACTTTTAAATTTAAGTTGATGAACTTTGTAAGCGGCTTTATATACTTAACAAATACACGATGATCTTCAAATAATCGCGTCTTTAATTCCTGACCAGAATTTTTCGTAACTACTCTTATCTACCACGTAATATACCACCAGGGTGCTATAACTATACCATTCCAAAGAAAATCACATTGTAGTTTGGTGGGTTGTGTAGATATAGTATATTATCTGGTAATCATATATGAAGTGATAAGAGTATATATTTTAAGTTCATGATATGTTAATTAGGTGGTTTGTGTTTACTCATATTCAAACATGCATATGTTATTATTTAAGAGTAACATTTGTTACCAAATTTTTTGGCAAACCCTATAGAATCTCAGAAACAAAATTATAAGTTTCACTTAATCAAAATTTTGATTCCGCAATATTGAACCACTTTTATATAGGACAAATTTTATAAATCAACAACATCCTGATCTTTTACATATAACATCAATTTATGTTTTTTATATGAAAATTTCATAGCCGTTTGTTTCAGTAGCGCGTACTCTAACGATTTTAATATATCTTATATATGTTTTTACGTGTTTATAATAACAAACACGACTAAAGGCAGTGAAATGTGATGCACATCTCCCAAAAGAGTTTGTCTTGATAGTCATCAGCATCGTAGTAGAATCCACAAGATGTTCAGGAGAACTTATAGCTCATATTGGATATGTTACTTTTGCAACATGTAATGTAAGACGTAACAAGACATGTATATCCCCATCATTATCTTGATATATGTTTTAGCATCTATGGACACACCAGAAACAAATATTTAATTATTTTTAGACGAGGATCAGCGCTAACATAATGTATACATGATATTAACTAGGTCTAGAACAATATATATCATGATAACACTTGTTATTTTTGGAGATGCTAAGGAGTAAGTAAGGAACAGAAATTAATTAAACAAATGTATGAAAACTCAGATATAAAATGTCATTAAGTTGCATGAGTGAAAAAGCCATTATATTTAACCAAGGTAGAAGATGGATCAAACTGATAGTTGAAAGTCGATTCTTGATGTAACAAAAAGTTAAATTAGCAATTACTAAATTAGTCATTTTAATTCTTGTATCAATTATTGCACGTTTCCTATGAAATACAAGGGTATGTTAAATTCTAATCTAGTGGTGGTGACTTCACGGGTTCTTCCATTTGGTTGAATCGATTTTTTTTTTTTTCATATTTCTGATCAAAACAAACTTTTAAGATAATAATAAATTCCCTTTTTGAACAACAAAAAAAAAAAAAGATAATAAAAAAAAAGTTCTTATTGGTGTTTTCTCTTCTTCTATAAATTCATGATCTTAAACTAGTTAATTCAATATTACTATTGGACATTTGAACTCTCGTGTTATCGCTAAAGCAAAAGATATTGGTAATTTATGACTTTACTTATACCATCAAACCTTAGTGTTTAGTCATTATACACTCAAATTAATGTGTTAGACAAGTAAATTAGTTCAACCATACAATTGACTGTTTTGAATGAATCTTTGTTAGTATGGTGGAATTCGTAGGAGGGAACATTCGTGTCATACTCCTATCACTATCAATTACCAAACACAATGGGAAAGTAGACACTGGTCAAAGTATCATATTTCAAAAACATCATTATATAACTACCAACCCAAGAGAAGTGTGTGTTCATTGAATCTTCTTAAATGGAATAAAAATTCGATTTGATATCCAAGATTTGGCTTACTCATCTCAACTCAAAGTCATGCTTTACATAAATATGGTGGGTCGATTAGGAACAAGGCCGGTTATGGATTTAGGCTATCTAAGTAGAGCCACATTTTAGCTTTCCTTGAAAAGACCAAACAATTGAGATGGTTAAGTATTAGGCTTCGTCAAAATTTGTGGAAAAAGACAGATCTCCAATTGTTAGGCTTTTGTTTGGTTCTTCTTTTAGGCAAACCATAAGAGTGATTGAATCAGCTCACCGGGAAAGGAAATCCTAGGATCTATCGTGCTCTGTACATATTGCTTGTTGATGATCCATCAAGTTTGTGATCAGTTGCAAGAATCTAGATTAGATTGAACACATGAGTGATTCAAGACCGGTGTCGAGATTGATCACAGTACAATCAAACTGCACTTAAGTGTTTGAGAATCCTACAAACAAGTTTCGATAGAACACTAAATTGAAAAGTTATTTGATACTTGATTGATGAAGGTAACTTTTATTACATAATGAAATAAGTTTGATCCCACATAACAGGCAAAAGCAAGCTTTTATGTTTCATCACTTCATTTTCTGCTCTGTAAAGAGGACATGGCGATTAACTCGAGGATCGTACTTACGGAACTCGAGCTTCTCAAGAAGTCCCTTAGTACTCTTCCTCTTGACATAGAAGAATCCAGTTCCAGCTGCTGAGACTAGACGGATGAACATGAACGTCTTCTTCCTCTTGTCACCCATATCTTTTATCACTTCAAAACACACAAGTACGAGAATGCCGTCACATTACAATTGTTTTCATTACAGAGATTGCATTTGATGAAACAGAGGGAACAAAACGTATAAAGGTTCCATTTTTAAAAGCTATAATTCGTTTAGAAGTGGATTTGTTTCTAAATCATATGCGACAATGACTTTTCTTTGAAATCTGTAAATCTAGAGATTAGAAAATGAAGCGGAAAACAGATCTAAAACCTATAATCCAGCAACGAAATCTCAGTTCCAACACTAATTAAAATAAGACGAACACGATTAAAGCTAAGAACCCTTTTAAAGAAATGATAAATGAGCTCGAAACAGATCGAGATTAGTCAGAATCGAAGAAGCTAGAATGATTAGCGTACCTGTAAAATCGAATTCGACGGAGTCCGAAAATTGGTTTCGCCGACGAAGATGACTGGGTGATAAACCCTATAACGAGAAATTGGGTTTTGAATTAAACCAAATGGGCTTTTAATTTGAGCCCAATATCAGCCCATCAGAGAGACATCTTCAAAACGCAGCGTTTAGTTGACGAGAGCCAATTTGCTTTTGTTGTTGTTCTTCATCGCTTTAGAGTTGTCCTCTCAGTGGAGAAGAAGACTCGAGTCATCTGCAGAAGAAGTTATTAGATAATGTTTACAATTTTTCATTCAGATTTCGTAACTTATTTTCTCAAATTTCTTATGGATTCAATTGATTTTTCAGATTCGCGATCGGATAGGATCATATAAGATTTAGGGATTTGGAAAAAATCTTGAGCTATGGAGGCGAATGCGGCGGTGGACGGAACGGGGAATCCGATCCCTACGTCGGCGGTTTTAACAGCTTCGGCGAAGCATATAGGAATCAGGTGTATGCCGGAAAACATGGCGTTCCTGAAATGCAAGAAGAATGATCCTAATCCAGAGAAATGCCTCGAGAAAGGACGTGACGTCACTCGCTGTGTTCTTGGCCTGTACGTTTCTACTACCTCATTCTCGTTTCTATTTCTCTACAAGTTCTTAATTTAGCTTATCTTAGCCGTATAATAATTTTTGGGCTTCTTCTGTTAAAACTTGATGAAGATTGTGGATAACGCCACATTGTAGATTTAGAGATTCTGATCATATAGTTTAAGAAATGAAGAATCTGTAGACTTGTTTTCATGTGGATTACAGTGTTTTTTAAAGTCCATGAACGTAATAAACTAAAGCTGTGCATATTTTTGGCAATGAGATTTCGAATTGGAACTCCGAAAGTTCATCGAGTTATGAAACATTTCTAGAATTTGACTAGTCTTTGTACATTATGGATCGTGATCAAATATTTGGCCTAGTTCAAAGTTATTCATGGCACACTTGTGTTTGTAGGATCCATTGTTTCCGTAGATTAAAACTGAACCCAAAAAGCCTTCAAAACTAGCCATATGTTTAATATCTAGGAAGTAGTTGTTTGACTCTTGTGTAGTAAGTGATATAGTGATCGACATCTTGAGAATTCACTAACTTTGCGGAAGATGATGCATTGTTCATAACAATCTGAAGTTGAGTAGTTTGCAGTTGTTGACTAGTTTGTTCTAAAAACTGGTGAAATGATTGATATTTTTGCAGGCTCAAGGATCTTCACCAGAGATGCCCCAAGGAGATGGATGCTTACGTTGGATGCATGTATTACTACACCAACGAGTTTGATTTGTGTCGGAAAGAGCAAGAAGTCTTCGAGAAAGCGTGCCCGTTGAAATGAGACTTTAAGTTTATCTGCTCCTAATAAGCAAATGTTCATTCTGAGTCTTGAGCTTTACCCTAATCACTGCTTATTTTCCTTTCCTGGTAATGGAAGACCATTAAATCATGTCATATTGTCATGTTTCTTAATTATCTTAAAACATGACCAAGTTAAGTTGGCTAAGAGATATCCTTAGTTACGAAGAGTGTCCAATTCTCCCGAGAAACGATATTGGTTACTTACTTGAGCAATTGACTCTCAAGTACACAGCTTGGTAAAAGCACTTAACATTGGTTTTTTAAAACCCAAATTGAAGCTAAAATAAATCTACCATCATTTTTATCGAGAAAGCGTAACAATTTTGCGATATTAAAAAGGAAAATCCAACGAATGAAACGGGTTTTGTCTAATTTTAATCAAATCATTTTTTTTTCTTTTCGGAATGAATTTAAACTATTTTTCCTGACATAAGCGAAATCAAGTATTAGTTTAGTTGTACGAGAAACACAACTTTTCAAAGGATTTGGACTGTCGAATATGGCATGCTTTTGACCTGGTAAAGAGATCATACGATCTCACGCAATCCGTTTGGTCTTTTACTGGACAACGTCTTCGTTGGAAGAATATGTTATGCATGTCATGCAGACGTCTCTTCGTGGAATCCACTTGTTGGTTTCTGATGCCCGGACAATGGTCCGATTGCTGGAATGTTCTGAGTAGTGATCTCCATGAGCCATGCTATCATGCAGGGCAAATCATGATCCGGTTAGTTCCTCTGATTTGTCCTGCATGATAGTTACCAAGTGAGTGTGTGAGTGTGAGACATTTACACTCATCCCAAATCAATAAATACAATTTTCTCTCTACTTTTTAAAAATCTCTTTAAGATTTCACGTTCTTTATTCGGTTTTCCTTACACAATTCGTCCAAAAAATTGAGAGAGAAAAAAAAACTAAACATATTTCAAAACTTTTAAACTTAGTGTTCAGTACAAGATATATAGGAGAAGGGAAATGCCAAATAGTAACTGACGAAACCTTTAAATCAGTTTGTTGACATAATGATGTAACGTGCACATGATATATCACCGATTCAAACCAAGGTAGTCAATGTCGTAGACTCATGCAGCTATGACCTAGTTTTCTTGGCAAGAATATACGTGCACATGATGTGTTAACTTCTCTGTATACTGGAGATTATTGCTATTGTTTTGTGGGTCTTCGGTAGATTGTGGTTTGTGGATATAAGCATCGAAACCAAAATATCGCTTTATGACTTGTGGGAAAAATCAAATGATACCACTTTCCCATACTTTATTTAAAACAACACTGATGACCCACGCCCAGAAAATAACATAACCCACATGTTTTCTCATTTGCTTTTTAAAATAGATGTTTTTCATGTGTCAATCTATATAACAAGCCTTATAATTTCTGTTCTAAAACCGGTTTAGCCTAGAAATTTTTGAATGCTAAATGTCAGTCCTAAGTTGGCTTTAATTTAAGCCTTGTTGTTTAGGGCAAGTCCGAGTTCGGTCCAAATTAAAACCAGAAGTTGTGAGAAAAAAAGGCATTATATATTTAAAAATGTTAATGGAAAAGACAAAAACATTATAGAACAACGGCCAGCCTGAAACATGTAGAACTACCACGAAGCACCTCACTATCACACTTGGCCGGGACCATCAAGTGATAATGCGTCTCTCTCAAACAAGGTTCCAACGAGGGAGTAGAGTGCAACCTCTCTGGAAGGCATTGAAAAAAAGGACGTAATTAACACGTGATTTGTTATATACTTGTAAGTTTGTAACATAATTTGATGCATAAACGAATGACATATTGACATGTATTGTATAAGGGTTTACAAAAGTTGTGTGTACGTTTATATTAATCAACTTAATTAAGTTGGGTTTATATCATATTATTAATTAGTCAGTCATGTGTTGACTAATTGGAAAGAAAACTCCATAAATATATAATTTGTTTCCAAATTATTAAAACTGATGGAATGGAAAAGAACATAAATGGATAATTTCAAAAGAAAATTGACATGAAAACAAGACCGCGAAAGAATTCATCGAAAAAGACAAGAGGGAGGATTTCAAATCTGTGGAAAATCAAATGAGACGACTGTATATAGCAATGACCCACATCTGTTATACTAAAAATAGTAATGAACCACATTTCTTTTAGTATACTTTCTCGACTACAATGACCCACACACTTCTTATTGTATTTCTTTTTGTCAAAACACTCTTTCTTACTTACTTTCTCGACTACGTAGCTAACAAAGTAACAATGGTGACCCATAGACCAAAGTTCTTATACTATTCTTGTTTTTCCAACACACTTTTTCTAATTACTTACTTCTAAATTTTTATTTTTTCGGACCTAGAGTACAGTATATACGGTAAAAGTATGAAGTCACCGTTGCCACCTTTTATATTTACTAGTTTTCCTTATAATCTATAGATGCTATTGGCTGAATAATACAAATTACGAAAAATGTAGAAAAAAGAAGCAAAATTATTGAAAATAATATTCAGTTTTGTCTGTCTACTTACAATAAATATTACAACCAACAATACATGATTGTAATAATCAAACTGAACAACTAAATTACCTTCTTTAATGTTGACAAAAAATAATCTACATTAAAAATACAAAATATCATATATTCTGATTTTTTTTATTCATTAGAGGAGAACAGAGAATGTCAAAACCATCTTATATATTTAAGCGGAAGAACATTATTTTATTTTATTTTGCTAAGAATGTAAATATTTCAAAAAATGAAAAAGTTAGGAGTTACAATTAAGTAAAACCTACAAAAAGAGCATTATCTTCTAAAATATCAAACATGTAAATAGCACGTAACATATTTTACAGTTAACTTTCTCCAAATTGGGATATATGCAATTTATGAAACCAAGTGAAAAGATCCCAATTAATAATCTAATTAAACTTGTACAATACAACAATTATATGAAGATTTGTGGATTTTGCAATGGTGAACAACTAATTTGCACGTCTGAAAAAAAAAAAAAAAATTGGTAGCGTAAAGTAAAGACTCTGAGATATGTCCAATGGATAAACCAATATTATCCTAAAGATCAATCTTTTGACAATACAAAAAGTACAAGAATGAGCTGGCATATATAATACATTACGCAAAGTTTTGTTGTTAATTACACAAATTGAGTTACCTAGTAACAGAATAAGAGTGAGGAAAACCATTTGTATATACACCACGAATATAAAGAAGAACAAATCAGATTTATGATATATTTATGGACTGTTTTTTTTTCTTATAATTATAACCAATCTTGATTCTCCTATCCTACTCAAGTAAATTGAGTGATGTAAAGTAACGTGAAGTCTGAACTTTGATTTTATATATGTATAAAAAGAACTTTATCGCTAATTGGAGTTGTCAGTTGTGTATCAGAAGAAAGTTAAAACTTTATATCATATATATAAATCATACTTCTTTGTCAACCGTATATATTGTATTATATGTAAATTAATAACAATTCAGTTCACAAATTCTATTAAATAATATTTTATAGTCACCAAGCCGGTCCGATATATCTAAATGCCCTACGCCAATAAAAAAAATCATGCCCTTTATAAAAAAAATCTTAACATCACAAATAAGATTAATATAAGTCATACTAAAACTGAAAAAACAGTTATTAACTTCAAATTTAGTCACTTAGATGTTTACTTGATTAATCAAATCAAGCTTGCTATGCTCGTAGCCAAGTACACAAAAGAAAAAATATAAATTGAATCAATAGAAATATTTTTTTTTTTGTAAATGTTTAGGGTTTTATTTTACTTTTAAACCAAAATTTTACTAATAAAATTCATTAACAACACATTAATTAACATTTTATTAATTTAAAGGTAGAAAGCCCACCAAATATAATGAAAGGAAAGCCCAACAAATTTGGTTTTAAAAAAAAAGATTATAATTCTTGTTATTTTAATATAAAATACCTAAAAAAATATGCCCATTTTAATTTGATGCCCTAAGCCAAGGCTTCACTTGATTGTGTCATGCGCTGGGCCTGATAGTCACTAAAAAAAGTTAGTGAATAATATGTAAATATCCCAAATAATGATACAAGTCCTCTTCTGTTCTAACTAATAGAAACATCTTCTTTACAGTAAGTCATCAGCTATTTGACAATTACATTCAATTATATTCGAACTTTCCAAGTAATTACAATTTATTTTCTCAATTATATACAAACTTTTGGTGTTTTAATTTTCTCCCCAAAACTAATGATAGGGAATTAATAAAGAACAAACAATAGCGAAATTTGATTTACTATATTACAAAACATTTCAAGATGATTGTATATAACAAAAAATACGTATCAAAAAAATTCAAAAGCTAGATGTAAATATTTCTCTGACGAAAAAAAAAAGAAAAAAAAAAGATGTAAATATTTCTCATTAAATTATATTGATGTCAAAACAAGAAAAAAAGTATAAAATGGTTTTCACTAGTGCATGTTACTATATATCTAGTATAGTACATTAAACATATTGCATACAGGCAAACCTAACGGTAAATGTAATAAAGAATCACAAAAAAATAAAAATAGAAGCATAATGAAAAAATAGGGGGTATTAAAGTTCGATTTACGATTTTAAAACACTAATCTGACGACAAAGAAAATATAAATCACTTAATGAACGTACTACTACTACTAATTACAGAGATAAGTTTTCGACTCGCTTTCGTCAGCTCGTCATTTATCGAGAAATCAAAACTGAAAAAAGTTGCAGTGAAAAGCAAAAAAGAACTTCAGCCTAACCCTAATATCTGAACCCCATGGTTTTGGATTCAGCCGCTGAGATTTAAACCCTAACAAGAAAGAAAAGTAATCTTTTTTCCTCCTTTCTTTGATTCAAGGCACCTATCAAGAAGATCGGAAGAAATCTGATAATACTTCTGTGAGTCATCGATTTTCCGTTAGCTTTTGTAGCACAAATGTACAATCTTTATCTGGTTATTGTATATATATGTATACTTCAACTTTTCTGTTCTTGCGATAGTAATTATGGAGAGAAACATTGGAGCTGGAGCTCGCTCAAAACACAGAGGAGGAGGAGGAAGAGGAAGAGGTCCAAATCCTCTCAAGAACCCCCAACGTGGAGGGCAAGAACCTCAAGGGAGACAACATCACCACCGAGAACAAGAATTTTTAGGAGTATGCGAAGTTTTATCCATCTTTATTCATATTTATCCATATATATTTCTTGATATGTGTGGATTTTTACTGGCTTGTTTTTAAGGAATTTGGTGATTTGAGTGTGATACTTAAAGAATGGAGAGATATCGCACATATAATCGGACCAGTATTAAAGCGAAGAGCTGGTGGGCACCCTTCATAAAAATCAAATCATGAATAGTACTCGATCGTGATTGACATGTTTTTCTTAATTGTGATGAATAATTTTCTTTGGGTTTTGATTTCACAGCCATTTGTTGGGCTATTGTTTTTGCACGACTACTAGAAGCTGCTCACAACATAGCTCTCGATGAAGAAACGAAATCATTCATTGAGATTTCGATCAATGATTTGGTGAAGAAGATAAAGAAAGACACAAAAGATATGGAAATCGGATCATTGAAGAAATGCTTCAAAATCATTAGGGAAAGTGGGTTAGCAAAGAAATCTCCAACTTCTGTGGTATACTCATTTCTGATATTGGATTAGTCTTTACACTTTGTTTCTTGTTTTCTTTGATATATACTTTTCTATTATATATTTTGCAGCAAAACGACGAATTAGCACAAAAAATAACTTGGGTATTTGCTTCAGAAGAGAAAGCCAATATGACTTTCATTGTAACCAAATTAAACCGTTCTCCCGTTGGTATCATCATTGAAATAGATGAAGAGTTCGGAGAACTTCGCGAGGTTAGTTAAAAATAGAATGTTAACTTGTAAAGTTTAGAATGATGATTGACCATTTAATTTTTTCATCTTTATTGGTTTCTTTAGGGAATTTATAAAGTCAGGCGAGTACAACCCGATAGCAATGGTGATATACTAAGGCATGCACTATTGATCACGGGCCATGGACACACCCCAAATGGACGGCATTTTCTAATCACTCGAAACTCTTGGGACACAGATTGGGGTGTCAAGGGTTATGGTAGGATTGCAATAGAAGGTGACATGACATGTTTAGTGTTTTATCCGACATTCTAGGTATGCAACTTTAACTTTATTTTGGTACATACAAGTAGTCAAACTTGCTAGAGCTTTGTTGCACCTTCAAACCAAATGACTTTTTTTTTTTTTTTTTTTTTTTTTTTAACTGTGAACCCCCTAAAATGTAGGTTGAAGGATCTTCACATAACGCAGCATGTACAAAGAGATGGAAAGAGCAAGAAGATTTCAAGAGAGTGTGTAGTTGAAGTGAGAATAGCAAGGAGAATTCAAGTATTCATCTTGAACGAGAGCTTCTAGCTACTTTTTAATATCCATGCACACACAACTCTTTTTCCTTTTTATTTTACCCCAGCTATTAAAAATTTATAGTTTTTTGGCGGTTAAATTGTCTAGAATTGAAAACTTGTCTTGTAATCAATGTTGACCATTAAAATCATGTCCAAGGGTCTTTACCAACAGTATAATTAAAGACCATCTATCGCGGGAGCTGTTTGACTTAACACGAAACCACAAAGGAGACTACGCAAATGAATTAGTATATGGAACCAAACCTCTAGTTAATGATTAATGAATTCCCCAATCACTACTTTCCCACTGCTAGCTCATGAAAGTTGTTTGTCCAGATCAAATCTAGTAGTACCAAATATCAACATGCATGTTCATGCAATTGAATAATACATTTTCATACCATTTTAATATTTTTACTGGACTAATAATAACATTCTAATCCAATTAAAGTAGCAACAATATCTCATTCTTACTCTAAACAGGGTCTGATTAGGAAAATTAAGACAAACTAAAATACATAGGTTTCTCCTTAGTTTACTTGTTCATCACCACTCATAAAAGCTTGATCCGTAGGTAGCAACATCAATCTGCGATTCAGAAATCATAACAAACCAATCACTATCTCACCTAAGCACATAAACATGCATTAGTCAGGCTTTACAATAATAATTCTATTATACAAAAACCTTCTGATTTTGGACTTGGCCTGCAAAAGATAGCATGAGCTTTCCTTTGCGAAAACTTCTTCTCTGTCTTGGCTTGATACTCCACAAGATCTCCACCTGGAACCTCTCTAGCCATGAAAGTGATGTATGACTTGTATCCGCCCACTTTAGTCAGATTAGCCTTCACAACAAATTCACATGTCACAGTGGATCCCTACGCAACCAAAAAAAAAAAATTGTCGATCAAATATTGGTATCACATGAAGTCTAATTATGATGATAAAGGTATTAATTAACCAACCTTGATTTTGTTGTATTTTTCAAGAGCCAAATCCACCATGTTTTGCATGTACTCACGGCCTGTAATCCCATAAGGCACTATTATGTCTTTATTAAGATCAACGGGAGTGAAGTAGCGCATCCTCCCAGAGTAGCATTCTCCATCCACATTGAAACCCTGAGCACAATCATAAAATTGAGAATCAACGAGTTCTAAAATAAATTAAAACTAAGTAGCATATACAAAATACCTTGCTCTTGATCATCAAAGGTCTATATAGGCGCATTTTTTGAGCTTCATCGTCGGAAGGAGTATGCACCCTTGGGAGTTTGTAATCAGGTTGGTCGTCTAAACTATCCACGTCCCATTCTTGGCCACTTCCACGGCTGGACGCGTCACTATCCTCCTCATCACTTGAAGAATCCGTGTAGACAAAATCATCATCCTTGGGATCTTCACAAACCAGAAAAAATATAACCGTTATGATTACAAATCCTTAGCGAAAGACAATGTTTCAATTAAAGTGAGTAACTTGGGGCTCAACTTACAGCATAAGATGAAAAGATGTCTTAATGAACATCAAGATCTAGACATAATGGAGTACCTTTGTGTTTTGGAGCTGGCCTGCAAAATATGACATGAGGGTTCCTTTGATATATCCTCTTGTCAGTCTTAGCTTGATACTCCACCAGACCTCCACCCGCAAACTCTCTAGCCATGAAAGTAATGTACGCTTTGAGTCCGCACACCTTAGAAACTACAACTCTCACAATATACTCACAAGTCACAGTAGATCCCTAGCAGAAAAGAATACTTATTTAGAAATATTGAATCAAACAAAGTCTTCTAAGAAGATGCATGATTGACCAACCTTGATTGTATTGTATCTTTCAAGAGCCATATCTACCATGTTCTGCATGACCACCCGGCCTGTGAGCTCGCCTGTGTGCTTACATCCCATGTATGTAAATGGTTTATTAAGATCAATGGGAACGAGTGGTCGGTACACCACAAACCCAGGGTAGTTTTCTCGATCCACATCGAAACCCTGATGGAGAAGACAAAAAAAAATAACTTTGTAACTATCAAAGGACCAAAATTTTCATCGAAACTTGTGTAAATTGATGAAATTTGAATCAAAAGTTGAAGTAGAAAAGTAAAAACCTTGCTCCGGTACATCTGAGATCTATATCGATGCATTTTTTGACCTAACTCATCGTTGGGATCCAGATTCCGTTTGGGTCTGTAATCGAATCCATCGTCGAAACTATCAACGTCCCATTCTTGGCCCTCCTCACGGCTAGAAACGTCGCTTTCCTCCCCATCACCACCTTGTTCTTCGTCGTACTCCCCCATGTCATCGTCTTCGAATTCATCGGAAGTTTCCAGCGGGGACAGCGGGGAGCCACCATCATCCGCCTTGTGCTTCCTCGAACCGGTAGAACGAATCTCCTCAGAGAGCTCCATGGGATTCGCTGTCCAATTTTCTTCCGCGCTGATTGATTTAGAATCCATTATTCACTAAACCCTAGATAAGCTGATGAAGAACAGCTAACGCTACCGGAATCGACATGTTTGGATCCTTATAAATAAATATGCTGAAAAAAAAATTTTCTCCTTGGCAAAATGAGATTTGGTTCTCACGTTTTGACAATTAAGCCAAAATCTGACGAAAATATCCCTAATGACTTAAATTAAACGGCATAGTTGGTTTCGGTTAATTATTTTTTCTTTGTTTTACGGTTTGGTTTTGAATTAAAAAAAATAAAATAAAAATCTTGCGCAGAAACCTAGAAGAAAACGAAGAAGAAGAACGAGAGAGAGATTCGAGAGAGAAGTAGAAATCAGTTCGAAATTCATTCATCCATCATCTTCGTTTTTCGACATCACCGTTCGAATTGTTCGCTACTTGATTTAAGGTATCGCATTGAACTCCAAAAATCGGCGAAGAGAAAGTTGTAGTTTTTCCGGCGAAGAGGAACTGAGAAACCTCCGGCGAGATAGCAACCGTCGAGATGTCTGGGAATAAACCAAACGACGAAGTCCTAGCAAAGCAGCATACGCTGGAAGGCCCCGAGAAGGAGAAGCGGGAACTCAGAGTTTCCCCGAGGAGGAAACTCCCTCTGACAAAGCCGCATGAGAAATTGGGTAAGTTCTAATATTATTTCGTTTGTTGTTTCTTTGGGGGTATCGGAATCTTAAAGCTTGTTTGATTAAAGGGATAGAACTAGGCGAAATTTGCTAAATCTGTAGGTTGAAAATGTGAGAAGTTGAATTGGAACTGTTATTTCCGCCAAAATTCAGATTTTGAGTATATGATGTTGATAATTCTTGTGTACGTACACGAATTTGTATTGTTTACATCCTTACTTATGTGTATATCACTTGTACTTGCAGGCAGTAGTAGTGTGGATCCGACTGCAGATCTTATAGTTGAAGAGTTACCACCAAGACTATTTTTTCTAGACCGGTACCCTGCCAAGACGAAGATGAACGCGTACTCCAAACCGGAGTACCTTTCGAAAACGTTGGGCGCAACGAACTTCTTAAACACTCTCACGACAAATACACAAATTGTCCACCCAGTGATCAGAGGACAAAGTTCAGAGATGGTATGATACCCGTCCATGACACGGATAGCAAGAACAATCGGAGGACTTTGTGTATGATAGATATAACTAGAGAATGTAAAAGGGTTTTCGATTGTAGTAACATGGATAAAAGTGAGAAGGATATGTGGCTTAAATAAAGAAATTCCGTAACGGACGCAATGGTTAATGCGAAAGGGTTCAACGGTTGAGATACAAATGTGTGTAACCGTTTTTAGTGTAAGGTATATGTACACAGACATATCAGATTCGTACATAGTTATACGATGGCAAACATTAAACGTACGTACACCGACAAAAAATGTGGTACACATGGTCCAGACATAAACGTACACTGTCTACACGGTGGCAAAAAACAAGGACATAAAACTAAATAGGATTTTTGCAAGTCTTCTTGTTATGACCTGCTTGTCTACATCTTGTACACTGATTCGGAAAGAGTCTTTTCTGTCTTTTTTTTTGTAGTGACAACAACAATAAGTTAACAATCAACGCATCTTATACTCTAAACATAGATATAGGAAAATAAGTGCACATGTTAGAATGTTAAAACTTACCCGGTTTTCACCCCTGGATGGTATCACCATCCTTTTGGTGGTTGGTCTCCCTAGTGGTCATCTACTGTATGGAGGAATCAGTATCATATTCTATATATCTTGTGGGATGACAACATCCTTCCGATCCGCGATAGGTAGAATCGGTTCTTGGAAAGAATCGGAAAACGTTTGAATGCCATAGCACCAACCGACAACAACCTTGAGATTAATTTCAAATTCTATTGCAGCTGCTAGAACGTGTTCACATGGGATTCTTAACCGGGTGTACATAAGACACATACACGTATACTCATCGAAAACGACATGAAAATGCTCACCTGACTTGCTTGTAACTTGATAACTCCACGGTCCAGACATCTTCACCGCGTATTTCCTGGAGGCAGGCAAATCTTGGAGAAAACGCTCGTCAACATCAGGTGTCACTAAGGATTTACACCTAGCCACTTTTTTCCTCCTGGCTGCGAACCATCGCATAAGGACCTCTCGAATAAACTCTATCATGTATACAATCGGATATGCTTTTACTTTTGTTAAGACATTATTCATAGCCTTCGAGTTGTTGCTAGACATGATATTGTAGCGTTCCCCTTTCCAGTGAGATCTTGTCCAATGCTCAAATCCAATTTCCTCTAAGTAGTTTGCGCATCTAGGTCTCTTAGCCCTTAACTGTTCAAAGTATTTTTCAAAATCCCTCACCCTATAATCTTTAGCACCACTGAAGAATAATTCAGAAACACCATACTTACCATAATTGGTATCCGTGTACGTAACAAAATCACCTTCGCAGCCTGTATCTTGTGTAGTGTACGTACATTGGTACAAACCATGTCGACACGTACATGTTAGAGTCACAGTTGGTGTACTGTCACCCAAATGAGAAATGTTATCTCCGCCAGGTACATGCTGACTTGTGTACGTACACTCTGCCAATAAACGACTGAATATCCCTGGATGTTGAACAGTCTGTTGAGTGAGAATGATGTCCTCCTCAACATTCCCTATTCCATATTCTTCTACAATTACATCGTTCCACTTGTTGTAATTGTAATCTTCCCCACTACCTTCACTACCGTCTATAGTAGGATCGAGGGAACTTCCCCCTATAGATCAATCGTCATCCTGATGATCATCATACCCATCACCATCTTCATTGTCCTCCCCTTTCAACGTCGTCTTGCTCATCTACGGCCTCATTATTTGCATCCAAATTTGCAGCTGCTACAATGGGATTTGGTGTCTTTGCACTCCCAGACACACAGTCACTTTCAGCATCATGACCATCGTGACAGTATTCCCGAGTGCCTTGACGGTTGTAATGAAAGAGACAAACAAGTTGACACTAGTATCCCCACCACGAATCAAAAAGAATGTATCCAGGCTCATTTGATTGTCAATGTATACAGGAGGGCGTTTACTTTCTATCATCACTGACATCTTTCCCGGCATCCAGTAACTAATTATAGGATTGCATTCAGTGGACTTCAAACTGAAATCCTCACATAATATACGTCTAAATTCTGTGTACGTCATGTTTTCCTTAACACGTACACAACAACCAAACCTGCCTTACTCTGGTTCAAATTTTCATTCTTCTTCTTTGCATCTCCACTCACCCACTATAGTAAATACGGGAATATCCATTACCCACATGCATCATAAATTCAGCAGAACCCTATTAAATGCAACTGAAAACATGATTATATCTACAAAAAACAAAAAGAATTTCCAACTACACACTTATAAACATATATATATATATATATCCTCATTTAGCATTTTTAACAAACAAAGTTGGAAATAAAAAATTTCTGGGTTTTTATAAAAAAAAATAATGTTGATTTCGAACACAATCAAGATCCTAAAAAAAAATAATGTTGATTTCGAACACAATCAAGATCCTAGTGTGTTATAACAAAAAACTTCTTAACCAAATTCATTACTTACACGATCAATGCTTGTCTTGGCTCCAAACTTTATAAATCAACAAGATCAAAACTTCTCCAGCATCACATTCGTTCAGACTAATTTGTTTGTTTGATGGTTCACGTTTATCTCTTACAATTATTTACACGTATAAACTAATATTAGAACAGGTAATGTAATGATGAGTTTTGCATTAATTGTGACAAGAGTCATGTCTAAACTTTTTTGGCATTAAATGCTGATGTCACATTGTTTTTAAACTTTTTTGGCATACAGCTGCACAAAACATTTAAAAACGAAATTATCTTAGCCTAACCGGAATAGTGTACCTAGCTGAACCGTATAATTGAACCGTACACGGAACAGTACGTCGATACGCTGGCAAAGGTAAAATAGTCAGAATTTGGCTTAATTGTCAAAACATGAGAACCAATTCTCACTTTGCCAAACCATGAAAATAAAACATGGGGCCTGATTGGTTGTGTCTTTAGAGTCTTTCCACAGCCATATTTTGGTCTACAGCTATAAATCAACATCAATCATACTTTACATTTAATTTTCAGGTCTACAGCAACATTTTACCTTTTTCTTTTTTTTGGGCTGTAGAAACGTCAAAAGCTACAGCCGTAAGTTTGGGCTTTGGAGTATATTTTTATTTAAGTTTCATATTAAAAACAAATTTGATAAGAAACCCTAGCTTAAGAATTATATATATATAATAATAATAATCATACCTTGAGCAAAGACACCCACAGCAGAGAGAAAAAGAAAGGTTCGTATCTTTCATAATTTTTGCCCATCCCTTATCGTGTGATTTACATAACCAATTATTAATTAGTGATTTTTTTTTGTTTTGTTGCTAATTGTTTTCTACGTGTTTAGTGATTGTTTTTGTTTTGTTGCTAATTTTATTTAAGTTTTAGATGGTGTTTTTTTTTGTTTAGTAGTAAAAATTAAAGAGAAAAATCAAAATATGTACCTAATATTTATATCATGTTTTCACTTTAAAAAATTCACAACTATTTTTACCAATCATGCTTTCATTTAATTCTACAGTCTAAATTCTACCGCCTAAATTCTACAGCTACAGCAGAAAAATCTACAGACAAATTTCTACGCTAAAATCCTAAAGCTACAGCCGCAACCAATCAGGCTCATGGTCTTCTGTCCTAGCCTGCAATTAATCTGGGTCAGATGGGTAAAATCCCCTTTAAACCATTGTAATGCATCCCTTATTACCCTTGTGCCATCAGATATTTTCCTTCTTTTTTCTTTTTCTTTTTACGCATCAGATATTTTCCTTATCGCGTCGTTCAACGATTCAAAAAGTTACCCAACAGTTAAAACTTATTAATTGTAAAAACGTTGTATGTATTTTTGAGATAATTTCATAAAAATACATCAATTAAAAAATCAATTTTAGAAAAATACATCAATCTAATGAAAGTTCTAATTGGAGTTTGTTTTTTCTATGAAATCATGATCTTCAAATTGTAGATTACTAACAGTGACATTTTCCTTAATTTCAAGTGA